ACCCCAGCGCACCCATCCAGCTCGTCGGGCGCCGAGGTGCCACCCGAGGCGCCATCGGCTTGGAGGACGGGGGCGGCGCCCCTCGACGGCGCATCCTCCTCGGCGCCCTCCTGGGTCGCGGCCGCCGACGTCGCCGCCAATCCAGCGAATCCGAGGGGGGGGGGGGGGGGGGCGCTGGCGCTCCCACATTCAAGCGCTGCTCGAGGGCACTTGGGTTATCGAGCGGCTCGATAACCCAAGTGCCCTCGAGCAGCGCGGCTACGCGAATGGGAACTTCACGCATCGCAACCTGCTCCACCCATCGGGTTCAAGGGTGGCGGCGGGGTCAGTGAGCCGACCGACCGTCGGCGAAACTGCGATATCATCGCGCCGACGCTTCTCTCGAGCTAGCCCGCGCCACCCCGCGCTCCGACGTGCCCAATCAGATCCTGAAGCGCATCGGTTGCACCACAGTTGCGCCAACATAGAGTGCGCTCGTCCGCGCAGCGAGGCGCGAACGGCGAGGCGCGGGCTGACATCAGGAAGGCGCAGTCTCACAGTTCGCGCCGCCGCCTACGTTGAGAACCGAAGCGCGCTCACCGCTGCTGCCTAGTGACTCGCCCCCCCCCCCCCCCTCTCCCGCGGCACCCCATGGCCCCGTGAGCGTCGAGCAGGGCGCGCAACCGAAAATTGAAGCCGAATCCTTGCGGGCCTCCTGGGGCGCGGAACGCCGCGAGGCAATGACAATACCTTCGCAGGCCGAAGCTCAACTTAACAACAATCCACAAATCGGCGAATATGCAAGACGGGGGTCAAACGACAACCAACCAACGAAAAACGTGCGAATATATATAAGTCGCCTGAAGCCAGCGCGCCGATCCGCTAGCCAGTCCACGGCGAAAAGGATACGCAATCTTCTCTAAGGGTGCTGCAAAGATGTCCACGAGCGAACAACTGCTGCCAAACACAAGGATCGGAACCTACAGAATGGGACTCCCCAAACCCACATCCGCAACAAAATCAGGGGCGGATCTCGCCGAAAGGCATTCCTATTGAAGAAGCCGCAACAGCGGCGCGCGTCTCAAGAGCGTCTGAGAGGACCCAAGGAGGACCGCCAGGAGCCCAAAACGCACCAGGAGGATCGAGCGGAGGAGGTGGGCGATTTTCTCGGCCGCCAAGGCACCCCTCGCCGCCGCAGCTGGATCCGCCTCCGAAAGCATGGCCGCGTCGCGGTGCGCTCAGATTCTGCAAAAAATGAAAGGAGGGCGAGGCTCCCCCTCCCTGCGGCTGCCTGGGGCGAGCCCCTAAGACGGGCAACCGCCTCCTGGGCCCTTTCTGCGCCCTCCGCAGAGGGCGCGGAGGAGGCCCCTCCACTGCCCACCTCCCAGCGGGAGGAAAGCACAGGAGGCGGAGCGGGGGGTGGCGCCTGCTGGTGGCAGCGGCCAATCGCTGGTCGGGCCACGGGGCGCTAACCTCAAGGGCTAGCGTACGGTATGGGCCCTTCCCGTCCTCTTGAAAGGGGAAGAAGGATCCTTACCACAATCCCCGCGGCAGCCAGTACTTACATCGGCTTGCCATCCGTGACCCCCAACGGTGCCCGAGAGGAGGAGAAGGGGGGGAGGACATGCGACGCATGACAACTTCACTCCCAAGAGAACTAGGAATGACGCACCGCGCGGAACCAACAGCGACAGTGAAACATATACATAAACACACATACTAACCGAACGGCACCAACATAACACCGACGAGGCCCCCAAAGGCCCGCCAGGTTGGATCTCAGTCACCAACCAGAGGATCAAATCACCCCCCCCCCCCCCCCCCCCCCCCAAAGACCTCACTCCCCTCCCCTGGGTGCCCACCCTATTCCCCGTGGACCCGCCTGATTGGATCCCCGTCCAGGCCTTTGGCGCACTCGGAGAAGCAGACGGCGCCAACCCCCGAGCCGTTCAAAGTTCAAACTGCTGGCCCAGCACCACAAGATATGGTTAGGGATAAGTGGACCAAGATCTGTGCATTCGAAGGGACGTCGGTTCACTTATTTCTGGCGCCAAGGGCACCAAAATCTGCCAGATCGATCTCCCGCACCCCCCTCGAGATCCTTCAGAGGCGTGTCCAAGTAGCCAAGAAACCCCCGAGCGGCTCCACAGGCCCTCCTGAGCTCCGAAACTTCCAGAGGATCCCAAACTAGGACTCCCGCGTCGGCAACGTCGCCATCGCCGTCGCGGAGCCTCCCCCCCGATCAGCGCACTCAGAAGCGGACGGCGCAGCCCCCCGAGCCGTTCAAACTGCTGGCCCAGCACCACAGGATGGTTGGGGATAAGTGAACCAAGATCTGTGCATTCGAAGGGACGTCGGTTCACTTATTTCTGGCGCCAAGGGCACCAAAATCTGCCAAATCGATCTCCCGCACCCCCCTCTAGATCCTTCAGAGGCGTGCCCAAGTAGCCAAGAGAAACCTCCGAGCGGCTCTACAGGCACGCATGGGCTCCGGAACTTCCAAAGAAGATCCCGAACTAGGACTCCCACATCGGCAACGTCGCCATCGCCGTCGCGGAGCCTCCTATCGGCACCGTCGCCGTCGTCGTCGCCGCCGTCGCCCTCCGTCCCGCCCACCTCCACCCTCGCCTCTGCCGCGCCCGCCGCCGCCGCCGCCGCGCGTCGCCGCTGCCGCCAAGTGCCGAGCCCGCGTCGGGGGCGGGAAGGAAGGGAAAGGGGGGATGGTGGAAGAGGCCAGGGCGAACGGGCGCACGCATGCGCGCCGCCCTGCGGCTACCCCTCCCGCGCAACCCCTGGACCAGGCACGCGCTGTCACCTGCGCGCCGCAGCTATCCCTGGGACCCCCGAGTTTCATGGAGAGTTACTTTCGGCCAGGCCCGACGCCAAAACCTAAAGTTACTTTATATACACATAAAGATATTTTAGGGGGCGACGGCCACCGACTGCCAAAGTTACTTTAAAGTTACATGCGATGTACACCGTAAACAGCTCATAACTACACGTACACGCCGTTTAACTACACTTAAACCATGTTTAAGTGTACTTAAACGATGTTTAAACAACCCGTTGCGGTTGCATGGTATGCTAAACACCGTTTAAGTACACTTAAGATGCGATTAACTACACTTAAACAGTGCTTACGTGTAGTTAACCGCTGTTTAGCTTGCCAAGTTGTTGCGGCCACAAGTAACGTTAAGCTAACTTTGGCATCCGTCGCATAAGTAGTGCGAAAGCAACTTTAAACTAAGTATGCGCCCCTCTGAACGCCATGGCCAAATCCGACGCCAAAGTAACTCTGGAAGTGTGCGCCCGCGCGCCCAAGACCGCCGAGAAACCAATCGGGGTGCGACGCTGACTGCGACTGGCATGGCGATAAGGTGTGAGAGAAGGCAATCTGTGAATGCAGCACAAGCGCGACGCCATCCTGCAACTCGCGCTCGCCGCTCGCCGAGCCGAGAGCGGCGAGCGTGAAACCCTCTCGCGAGGCTTACCGCCAAGACCCCCCGAACGACACCGCACAAACATCTAATCGTGCACGCCTGGGGGCCTCTGCCACAACTGTAAAAGATCAGCCTGCTCCGCGCCCTCGCCGTCCTCAAGCACCCTCTCTGATGCGAAGAGGCCAGCGGACGCCTCAGACATCAAGACTAAGTTCCTGAAATGAGATCGGCGGGCGACGGGCCTCGTAAATTCATACACTGCACGGGCATCCTTATGCTCTGCCCTGGTCCCCGTCGACATTGCAAGGCTCAACCAAGCCACTAGAAAACCGACTGGCCTACCCCCCCGAGGAAAGCCGTCTGGCCCCTGACCCTTCGCCAACGGGGCGCGCCGCATTACGCAACAACCGTGGGCAGGGTTGCTACAGACTGCTTCGAAATTTCTGTACTTCGAATAATATCTGATGGTGCCGCCTGCCACCCGAACGCAGGCATCGGCAGGGACTGGAGCCGCCCTCCCCTCGGGGCCTGGGGGTGGCGGAGGGGGCGGGGCGAGGTCGCCAGGCGGGCCACCATCAGGCCCTGGGTCAGGGCGGTCGCCGTCGTCGAGGGGCGGCGCTGGCGGGCCGCCCTCCCCCGCCTCGGCGGCTCCGACGGCGCCTCCGCCAGGGTCGTCTGGCGGTGCATCACCGACGCCTGCTCCAGCGAGAACTTCGGCGACCTCCCCAAGCCGCGCGGCGCGACACGACAACGCACCACCCCCATCAATCGTCGACGGCGACTCGGCGCGAGGCCCTGGCCCTCGACCCTCGGCGATCGACGTGAAACGACGTCGACTGCGACCGCCATCAGCTACAGACCGACAGCACGAGCTCGGCGACTAATCCACCGCGCTCCTGCACCGTCGATGTCGGCGACGCCGACAGCCATCGATCGGAGGAGGGGGGGGGGAGGAAGAAGAGGAGGAGAGCTTGAAGGGGGGGGTGAAGAATACGATGAGGGTGAGGAAGAGGAAGAGGAAGGGCCGCGACCCGAGGTTCACCACTGACTATGGCGACGGCCGATCGCACGGCGAGAGCGGCGACGATCACGAACCTCCCAATGCTCCTTCCAACGACGCCGACTACGACGGGCGAACATGAGCCACGCACGGCCTTGGGAGACGAATCGACGCGAAGACATCACCTGGCCGCCGCCGACAACAACACTGCACACTGACAAGATCTGAAAGGCTAAGCCTGGCCAGGGCCTCCAGACTCCAGACGGGGCACAACTCACACCATTGGTTTTTCAACGCTCTGAATGCCAGACACGCCGAACTGGCACCTCCCTAGGATTGCGAACGTGGTTTCGAGGCTTGCGTAGGCGCCTGGCGCTCCATCTGAGGCAGAAAAGAGATTGACAATGGTGGAGCGCGCATCCCTCTCTCGCCCTCCCCCCTCCTACCTCGCCTCCCTCTCTGCCGACGCTGGCAACCAATAAAGGCAGCAAGCGAAACTGCAGCAACTCAACAGGGCGCGGGGCGGCAAGCGCCCGCCTCGCCACGTAGGGGGAGGATCGGCTCAATCTTGGCCCAGTCGCTCAATCTGACGAGCTGCTGGAGTCCGTGAACCAGTCGCCGATGCGGTCGCCGTTCGCGTCGCGGTGGACCAGTGGGAGCACCACCTCGCGAGGCTCCGAGCTCAACGGGGCATCCGACGACGTGCTGCTGGACGACGATGCCGCGGCTCCGATGGCGAGGGACTGGTTCGGCGGCAGCCCGCTGAGCGGCGTCGAGCTGGAGTCGCGGATCGCGCCGGTCAGCGGGATCGTGGCGTAGGTCTCGGCGACGGGCTTGATGTCTGGCAGTGGGATGGCCTTGGCGTACTTTGGGCTTAGAACATTGTATTCTGGAGTCCCTGGAACCGAGGCGCTGACCCAGACCGTAGGCTCCCCGAAAGACAACGTGGCGTCAGAGTCGTAGTACGTCGTCTCAGTTTCATCGCCCGTGAGGTCCTCCGCACGTGAGCGATGGGGCACCACAGCGCTGTCGTCGTTGGCCTCCCCCAAAGGACCGAGCCAGTGACCTCTGATGCCGAGCGCCTCTTCGATCCTCTTGAGCCGCTGGTGGAAGCGAAGGTCGCGAGCCTCCAAGGCGTCAAATGCCTGCGGGCCGTCATGTGCCCGTTCGCCCGCTACCTCGCCATCCTGCCACCGCCCTCCCCGCCTCGCGCCCCTGCGCGCACTAATCCCGAGCCAAACGCCGCCGCGCCATCCCTGGCCAGCGCGAAAAGGAAAGCGCTGGCGCGGCGCGGGATTAGCGCGGCGTCGTCGGGCCAGGGCGCAGGAGGGCGCGACGCAAGCGGGCGAGGCAGGAGGCGAACAGACACATGGGGAGGAGGGGTGCGACAGGCGTGGTAAATGCAGACAGGCAGGCACGGGGGCGAGGAGTTATGGCGAAATTGCCATGCCAACCCTGCAGACCCAAGAGAGAAGCCAGGACTTGTAATCCTCGTGCTCCAGCCGCGCACGCTGCGCAGCGCGCTCGCCCTCGCTCGGCACCGCCTCGAGGTCGCTCGGCGGGCGGGCGCGGCGACGGGATGGCGCCGCCAGCGCTGCCATCGCACGCAAGCTGCTTGCTGCGACGCAGGCGGCACGATGCTCAAAGAAAAGCTCCGAGACAATGAAGCCAGAGCCGAATCAGCAACAGACGGCGGGCTCTCGGCTCACACCGAAACAACGCGCGCCTTCCGAAGCCCAGACGACTGTCGACCTCGTGTACGGGGGCCCCCTCCTAACCCCCTCCCCAAACCACCGTAAGCCCCAATCCCAGCCTTGTCCCCCGCTGACCTTCTCCATCTCAAATCTCAAGAAACGTTGCCAAACCGTGGAATGATACCCGCCTTCGCATACATAAGGCTAGCGAAGGACCCAACCACATGCCGCTGAGGATACTGTAAGTGTGAATATATTATTCGGTGGCGCCCCCTATGGGCACGCGGGCCGCATCAGGGGCGCGCCGACATTCGCGGCGGCGCAGACGACGCGAACGAAGGCGATATGTCTGAATATGACAGCTAGGGCGCGAACGAGTCTGACCGCGAGCGAGTCTGATCATGCATGGTGAGCAGACGTCGCTACAAGCGTGAGCAGCGTGACCAGAGCGATTGGGGAGCCAACCCCTGCAGTTCCCCAAACACCGTCTGGCGTCTGGCTGGGGATCGTGGCCCCGCTACTCCCCAACAAGCCTCCTCCTGCTTCTCCTCTTCCTCAGCTGTGTCCTCTACGTTGCCATGCTACTGTTGCCTTCTTCTTCCTTCTCCATGGCTAAAAAGAAACACGAGGGAAACCAATTTCGGAAACTGGTTTCCCTCGCGTTTCGTGGCAGCCGCCCAAAACGCGAAGGAAACCAAATTCGGAAACCGTGTTTTTGTGGCAGCCACCCAAACCGCGTTGTTCTGCTACGGTTGCCTTCTTCGTCCTTCTCCATGGCTAAAAAGAAACACGAGGGAAACCATTGTCGGAGACTGGTTTCCCTCGTGTTTTGTGGCAGCCACCAAAAACACGAGGGAAACCAGTTTCGGAAACTGGTTTCCCTCGTGTTTGATGGCAGCCGCCCAAAACACAAGGGAAACCATAACGTTTGGGTCGGCTGCCGCGAAACTGAAGCCCCCTCCTCTTCCTCCTCCTCGCCGCCCGCGAACGGGCACGGGCAAGCGTTCAAGCTCAACCCCCCAAGGGCAGAGCGAGATCCTAAAGGTGGTTGAGATCGGCGGCGGTCCTCCTCCTCCCACGCCTCCTCATCGACACTCCCCCCTCATTCGTCCTTCTCGCCCCTCCTCTTCGCCCTCAGCCCCCCCCCCCATCCTTCTCGCCGCCGTCATCTCAAGAACCTTGAGCCCCCGCCCGCCTTTCTGGCGCCTGCTGGTTTACGCAACTAGCCCGAACGATGCGTCGGGGCGTCGCCAACTGACCCGCTCCTCGACCGAGGTGCCAACGACGCGCCCGCGTGCGCTTTCGGCGCGCGCGGGGAATCTAGACCTCGGCGGGCTATTACGCTGTCGCAACATTCAACGCCAACAATGTTTGACGCCAGACGCTGCGCTAGATACCGTCGGCAAGATTTCAAGAGCGGGAAACGGCGGAAAGGGGGGGGGGGGGCATGGCGGCAATGCAAGATGGCATCCTCTGGAATGGCGCCTCGAAGATCTCATCTGCCATCAGCAATGCCCCCCCCCCCCCCCCCCCCCCCCCCCCCCACTCACCCCCTAACCCCTAACCAAGATCGCGCTCGGAGAACTGGCAAGCGCCGCGCATGCTGGGCGGCGTCGGCGGGTCCCGACGATCAAACCCCAATGAATTGGTAGAGAAGCCAACTCGCTCGAACGAGCGCGACAACGACAAAAAGCAAACAAACCCTGCCCCTGCCGACCTCTCGGGCCCTCTCGAGCTCGTCAGTCAAGTCCTCGAGCTCATCGGAGACGGCCTCGGACTTCCCGTCGTCGCCGATGACGTCGGCGTCCCCGCCGACGGGCTCGTCGTCAACGACGGCCTCGACGTCGGCCTCGACGACCCCGCCCTCCAATGCTGCGCGAGGTGCAGCGGGCGGGGCCCCAGCAGGACCAGCAGGAGCGGCGCCCTTGCCCCCGGCAGCGGCCGATGGCGGCCAGAAAGGCAAGACGCCATACCCAGCAAGCGGCAGCACAGGCACCGTATGAGGAGCAATATCACCAACAGGCCTGGTGGAATACTCCAGCACGTACCAAGTTGCTGTCCAGCGAGGGCAATCCAACAAAAACGCGAGAGCGTTGAACATTGACTTGAATTCGAAACATGTCTTGATATAAACTCTGTCCTCCCTCGGCGGCAACTCGACCAAAGCGTCGACGGGCTTCGCCGTCATGAAGGTCGGGCGGTACGGCGACCAATGCATCATGCCCACGTGGAGCCACGCGTCGAGGCTGAACCCGAATAGATCATCATCCAGGTCATCACCATCGGGGCGCCCACTAAACTTGACGACAAGCCGCCCCTCGTCCACAAGCGCACGCTCGGATGAACCAGGGCGCGTGAGTATCTTCAGCGACTGCAAGAAAGCTACAATCCGTCTATGTAAATCTTTACCACGGCCTGAACACACACACACACATCTCAACACTGCAACACGCAGGGAACTCCTTAGTCCGTAATCCAGGCTGCTCGGTCGGCGCCGCGTCGTGTCTGATGAAGTCGTGGGCCCACTCGTTGAATGCCTCCAAGGCCTGGCAAATGCCGCTCGTCTTGTACTTGGGTACCGCCCATGATACAGCGCGACCGAGATGTACACCAATGTCGAAATCAGGCTCCACAGCCCGTATCTTTCCAGACGCTGGAACCGCAACGAACTTCAGGACACTGGCAAGTGGCAGTTGGCCCTCCACATCGCTAACTGGGGCCTTGCCCTTGTCTTCGCAGAACTCGCGGATGGCCGTGACGTCGCCCTCCAGGGTGGACTGCGCCTTCTCCCGCCTCCCCCTGACCACGGCGCGGCATGACGTCAGGGCCTCTTCCAACGATGGAATAGAGCCCTCCACACTCTGCAGAACAAGCTCCGCGGGGTTGAGGTCGACCTTCTGGATGGCATCGTGCATGATCTTGTTGCGCTTCGCTTCTCGCGAAGCCTCGGAGGGCGTCGCGCCGAATGAAGAACGATGGGTAGACGCGCCGCTCCTGCCAGCAACCGTGGCTAGTTGGCCAATCTCCGTCAACCTCGCCTTCTCCTCGGGGGGCAGCGTGCAATACTCCACAGACCATAGTGCAAAATCTGCGCGGCCGCCAGACTCCAGCAACTTCTCACGGCAAAATGCCCGCCACGCTCCTCCTGGCCGAGTCTGCTTCTTACAAGGGTGGTCTGGCTGGTCACGCTGAACTGGCTGGGGCCTCAACTCGTCAGTGAATGTCTGACGCGCCGCCCGCGTCCTGCATTGCCCGAACATCCAATCATTTGACATATCTTTGAAAGACATCTGTGGCAGGTGTGCCGATGCAGATTCCACTGTCCTTCTGATTCTGGCGAAAGCCCTCTCCTGCGGCCCGTTGTCGCAGATCCACTTCAATACGAAACTGAATATTTTGGCCTCGCACACGTCACCCTGGAGATCAGGGTGGCCCGAGATAATCCGACCCGCCCCCGGGGGCGCGACTGACCAAACTCGTTCTGGCACCTCCCAGCCCCCCGCCCCCCACAGGGCGCCTAAAGCCCACGCGCCAACTGGCCCCAGGCCCCAGGCTCCAGGATGGCCGCGAAGCTGGGCCCACAGGAGCGCCAGAGGCCTCCGCGGCAAGCCCTGGAAGGAGGGGGATGGGGCGGGGGTGGCCAAGGCGCGCTCAAAGCTCCCCCTGCAGATTCCCTCCACCGCCAAAGTTAGCACATCGGGAACGCGCTATACTACCACGGGAACGCCAAGCGGCTCCAAGACCCCCCCATGGCCTCCACCCCAAGAAGCCCTACACTACACCAAACAAGGCCCGAACTAACCCAGAGCTCCACGGGTCAACGCATGCGAACCAACCAAGACCCTCATTCCTCGGTAGTTGCCCACCGCGCGACGCGGTCAACAACTCCCGAGGGGCGAAGGTCTTCGCCCGACTGGCCGCGTTGGGGGTGGCGGATAGAGGCCCGCGAAGCGAGAATGATTTGAAGTGAGATCGGGTCCATCAAATGTTTTGACATTTTGCTGACCGCCTCCTTCGTCGCAGGCTGCTCCAACGTCCGAAACAAGATCCATGGGAAACCTCGCCGCTCAGCTCTCCAAAGGAATTCAACTGCGCACCCCAACCGCGAAAGAGTCTGAAACACGAGAGCCCTGAACTCGACAGTGTGGCAATCGTCTGGGAGTAACGTCCACATCAACTTCTGGCTGAATAAGGCGTCGATCCTCTCGAAGCACGGGGCGTCGACGTCGCCTCGGGCCAGCGCCAGCGGCGCGAAGTCGCGCGCGAGTAAAGCAGTCGAGCCAGCCTGAATCTCGCGAGCGGCCTTGGCAGTCTCGCGGCGCTCGAACGTTGGCCCGTTGATGTAGGAGCTCAGCTCGCGCATGCCGCGGAGAGGCTCCATGGCGTTCCGCTGCAGCACGAGCAGGCCCAGCGGGTTGCACGACCACCATCTCCGCGCCGCCTTCCTGTACCTGGCGTGCTTGATGGCGCCGTCCTCCGCGTCGCGCCCCTGCGGCCGCGGGGCGGCGTCGGCCTCGTCGCCGCTGCCGACGTCGAGGATCGCTGGGGCGCCAACCTGATGCCGCCGGCCTCGGCCGCCAGCGCGACGTGCGTCCATCCCGCCGCGGCTCTCGGAAAGAGAAGCAACCTTGTGCCCGTGAGCCAGCATGTACCGCCTGAAGGCGTGCGAAAACACTCCGTGGCACGCCTCACCAATCGCTGTCTCGTCCGTGGCGACCTCCCCGCGGCACCACTTCGCCTCCTGGTACCGCGTCGGGACATGCGGCGCCAATGCCGTGGCCAAACCCGACGCCAACACGTGGACGATGGCGCGCCTGTCGACCTCCGCGATGGCGCCGTCGGTGACGTGGTAGATCACGTGCTTCGTGTTCCTCCAGTCCCCGTTGGGAAGCGTGGACAGCAAAAGCTTGGCCATCATGTTCGAGCGTTCAGTCGTGGCGCAAAAAGTCCTGATGCACAACATCCGATGCAAGGCAGCGAACTCATCGCATCGGCCGTCCACGATCAAGCACCTGGCCTCGACGTCGTCGTAGATGCATTGTTGCCAACACATCATATCGCCAGTCATCTGGAAACTAAGCTGGTGATGAAGCATGCCACGAACACTCAGGTGTAGTGGAGCCATCGTTTTCTTGTAAGCAGTCGCAATCAAATGGCTTCCACAACACTCGCGGTGGCGAGGCCACCCTCTCTGTTGACCAACTATCCGCTCTGCCTTCTCGTTCGTGTTTTCACCGTCCGTCATTGCAAACCTCGCCCTGCTTTGAAACTTGCCCGACCAAATGCTCGAGCCCGAAGCCCTGGCCTGACTCCGCGCGACACATTCCCCAGCCCCCCTCTCGAGCAATCCCAAGCTGGAGGCTTTCGCAAAACAAACCACCGTCAACGAGGAACCGACCGTACACAACATCGCATACCTCAATCGAGTTTGCATGGTCTGACAAACTCCCGAATATGATGGCGTCTTGATTGCGATCCTGACTGTCTGTGGCGATTCGAGAGCCGAACTTCTCTGGCTGCAATCTGTGACAGCATCAGCTGGGAGCGCAACCTTGAACGCCAGAAGCGATGAGTTCCCTGATAATGTCGTCACGAAATCTGCGGCGTCATAACAAGCGAACTCCACGTACTGATGCAAATGACCAGCTGGGAGGCTGGATACCAAAGCTCTCTCCAACAGCATTTGAGTCATCGTGTCAAAAACCGCAACTCCTGCCCCGAGAACATCTGTAGCCCTGGCCGCCTTCGTCTTACCAGTTGTCAAAGCCACATTGCGAACCGTTTTGGACTGCAGCCGAGACGAGGAGGAAGAAGCCAAAACATGCTGGGCCATCTTCAGAAAGTCATCGTCCAAATCCGAGGCGCCAGCGGTCGCGCCCAGCTGAACGGCGGCGGCTAAGTTCGTGGCCAAACCAGTGGTTGACATGAAACCCTGCATCCTGAACGGGACGATGCGCAACTTGCCACGGGCGTCCCGAGGGACGACGGCCGCGATCTCAGCCGCTGCAGCCTCCTGCGGGCTGAGTCGCGGCCCCTGGGCGGCCCCCACCGCGGCGGCCGCCTCCAAAACCAACGCCTCGATCGGGCCCTCGGCGGCGACCCTCGGGGGCCTGCCGCGCCGCCGTTTCGGCGGCGCCTCCACGACCGCGCCCTCGGCGGCGGCGGGCGAAGCAGCGGCGGGCGGCGCTGCCAGCGCCGCCAGGTCGCCCCAGCCGCGGCGCTGAGCGGCCTCAGCCATCGACACCCCCGAAAACCGATGGCGCGGAGGCGCCGCCAGCTCCGCCAGGTCGCCCCGCCCGTCGCCGGGGGCGGCCATGGCCGCGGGCGGCGGAGCAGGATGGAGGTAGAGGGCGGCGGAAAGGTAAGGAAGATGAAGGGGGGAGGGAGGGGGGAGGAGGAAGGAGGGAACAGCAGGATCAGCAGCGGAAAGGGGAGGGAGGTGCGGGAACATAATTTTCACCATGGAGGCCGAAACCCTGGAGGAGGAAATCTGGCCACACGAGGGGGCCGCAGGACCTGGGGTGGAACGGACGCCGCCCCAAGCAAACGCCCTGGGAAAGGTTGAGGTGGGAAGAGGGAACGCCGCGAGACCGACGGGAAACCCGAGGCCGCCTCCTCGCCACTTTCCGACCCCCGACCCCCCCCCTCACTCCAGGATCCTGCGCCGCAGCCCTGTCCCTCATGTTTGCCGTCGCCCTCTCCTCCCCCCCCTGTCGTCACTCCTGCTCCTGCTCCCCCGCGCCTCCACCCCCGCACTCCTCGATCCGTTTCCCGCCGATCGCGTGTTCCCAAAAGGAAAAAGAAGGAGCGGCGGAGGGCGAGGGCGGCGCGGCCGCGGCGCCCCGCGGCGTCGGAGCCAGCGGCGCCAGACGCACGCGGCGATGGGGGCGACAAGCCGAGGGGGATCGGTGGAACGGAAGAACGTAGGAGAGAAGGACGGGCACTGGGAAGAAGAGTAACGAGAGCGGGCGGGGGGGCATAGGAAGAGGGGGAGAGAAGGACTGGGGCAATGGAGGAACAATTGTGGAATTGTGGCTAGGAGAAGAAGCGAACGAACGTGAAACGTGCATAACGAACGGATACACGCGGCCGCGCGTGGTGGGCCGTAGCGGCACCCTTCCGTCATGTTAATCCGATCGGGCCCCAAAGCCCTGAGCCACTCGTCACTTTTATCACATCCTAAGCCACATATTCACCAATACTACTAAAGTCTCTTTAACGTTACATAAAACCTACATTGTTTTTTTCTGCCCCACCCTGGCTTTAGGGATGTGAGGATCGTTAACCTTATGCTAAGCCTCCCTCTGCGAACAGCCGGTCAGGGGCAGGAGGTTGGCATGAAGGAGTGGGGTTCTGGGGTCCTGGGGGCCCAAACTGTTCCCCGTCCTTGATCGTTTCTGAACGGCCCGCCAAAGTTGGGCAGGGCAGCTGGGGGCCTCGAAACGGCGGAAACCATCTCCAATACCCTCTCCAGGACCCGTTCTCTTGGCGGAGGGGGGGGGGTCACTCGAAATACTGGCCAGAACACGCCCCAGGAAATCGCTGTGGCCGCCAGCGTCGTCGTCCCGCGACCTCGTCGTCGTCGTCGTCGTCGTCGTCGTCGTCGTCGTCGTCGTCGTCGTCGTCGTCGTCGTCGTGGTCGTCGTCGTCGTCTCGCGACGTCGTCGTCGTCCTCGTCGTCGTCGTCGTCGTCGTCGTCGTGGTCGTGGTCGTGGTCGTGGTCGTGGTCGTCGTCACAGCAGCCGTCGAGGACAGAGGGTCCGGGCTCGAGGACTGGAGTCTCCCCAACGTTCTTGGGGCGCATCTCTGGGCGGCCCCCGCATGGGCGGCGCTGTCCGAGGCGTAACGGTGAGGGGGGGACTGGCTCTCATGGAGGGGGGGGGCATCGAGCTGGAAACGGCGATACATCGCGGATAGATTTCAAGGGACCCGAGGACGCACAAACAAATACACACAAATCAAAAGGTTCCCCGGATTTTCCTATGCTTTCTGGGGTTTTGTCTTCCCCCACTTCCCATATTCTCCCACCTTTTCCTGGGGATCGACGATTCATTGTGTCTGTGTTTCTTCTCCTCCTGAAGATTGGGGATCGGACCCGATGGCGAATCCGCATGTTCTCTGGCCAGGTGGGCTGTCAAGCACCCATTGGCGATCATACTGCGATTGGGGATCGATGCGCCCCACCTCTGGGCCTACCCCGGCCCCAACGTTTCCCTGTGAGGTCGAAGCTCGCCTCTCTGGCGGCCGCTCGGGGCGACCTGGGCGTCCCCGAGCGCCTGCCTCTCGGCGAGGCGCAGCTGCTGGAGGGCATCCCGAGGCCGGAAGGCCGCCGAGGACCGACAACAAAAAGTCTAGACCTGGAATCCTGGAGCTGCGTGACCACCACCCCTCCCTGACTGCCTACCATGCCACCCCAACCCAACCCTAAGACCCCGATTTCGGGTTGGGAGGGAGTGCGGGCTTCCTATGCGTTTTTCCCAACCACCCTGCGGTGTTGGGTCCTCGTTTTGAAGAGACGGCGCCCCGCGTTCTCCTCCTCCTCCCGCCTCTTTCCGCCTCCCCCTGCTCCCTCCTCCTCCTTCCCCTCCTCCCTCCCCCCTGCGTTTCATCCACCCTGCACAGCGTTTCGTGGCCCCATAAGGGGGCCCCACCGAAGGCCCCAGTGGCACCGCCCGCATGCGTCAGCCACCACCCGTTACAGCGTTTCGTGGCCCCGTAGGGAGCTCCACGGAAGGTCCCAGGGGCACCGCACGCATGCGTCAGCCACCACCCAGCACAGCGTCTCGTGGCCCCACAAGCAGCTCCACCGACGGCCCCAGTGGCACCGACCGCACGCGTCAGGCACAGCGCTTCGTGGCCCGATAGGGAACTCCACCGACGGTCCCAGTGGGACCGCCCGCATGCGTCAGCCACCACCCAGCACAGCGTTCAGTGGCCCCATAGGGGGCCCCACCGAAGGCCCCAGTGGCACCGCCCGCATGCGTCAGCCACCAGCCAATACAGCGTTTCGTGGCCCCATAGGGAGCTCCACCAAAGGTCCCAATGGGAACGCCCGCATGCATCAGCCTCCCCCCAGTGTAGCGTTTCGTGGACCCCTACGAAGCTCCACCGACGGCCCCAGTGGCACCGCCCACATGCGTCAGCCGGCCCCCAGCACAGCGCTTTGTGGACCCACAGGGAGCTCCACCGACGGCCCCAGTGGCACCGCCCGCATGCGCCAGCCACCACCCACTACAGCGCTTCGTGGCCCAATAGGGAACTCCACCGACGGACCCAGTGGCACCGCCCGCATGCGCCAGCCACCAGCCAGTACAGCGTTTCGTGGACCAAAAGGGAACTCCATCGACGGCCCCAGTGGCACCGCCCGCATGCGTCAGCCACCACCCAGTACAGCGCATCGTGGCCCCATAGGGAGCTCCCCCGAAGGTCCCAGTGGGACCGCCCGCATGCGTCAGCCACCACCCAGTGTAGCGCTCCGTGGTCCCATAGGGAGCTTCACCGAAGGCCCCACTGCACCGCCCGCATGCGCCAGCCACCACCCAGTACAGAGTTTCGTGGGCCCATAGGCAGCTCCACCGAAGGCACTGCCCGCATGCGTCAGCCACTACACTTTACAGCTCTTCGTGGTCCCATAGGGAGCTCCCCCGAAGGTCCCAGTGGGACCGCCCGCATGCGTCAGCCACGACCCAGCACAGCGCTTCGGTGTCCCATGGGGAACTCCACCAAGGGTCCCAGTGGGACCGCACGGATGCGTCAACCACCAGTGGCACCGCCCACATGCGTCGTTCACCACCCAGTACAGCATTTCGCGGTCCATTGATTGAGAGCTCCACCAAGACCCAGTGGCACCGCCCGCATGCGCCCCCCCCACCCGGTACAGCGTTTCGTGACCGCGTAGGGAGCTCCACTGGCCCGCCCGCATGCGACCCCCCACCCAGTACAGCGCTTCGTGGGCCCATAGGGAGCTCCACCGAAGGCCCCAGTGGCACCGTCCGCATGCGCCGCATGCGTCCCCCCCACCCCGTGGTCCCATAGGGAGCTCCCCCGAAGGTCCCAGTGGGACCGACCGCATGCGTCAGCCACCACCCAATACAGCGCATCGTGGCCCCGCAGGGAACTCCACAGAAATACCCCAGCAGCACCGCCCCCATGCGTTTGCCCCAGCCAGTACAGCGCTTCAGGGCCTCATCGGGAGCTCCAGCAAGTGGCACCGCCCGCATGCGTCAGCCACACCCAGTACAGCGTTTCGTGGCCATAACAAGCCCCACCGAAGGCCTCAGTGGCACCGCCCGCATGCATCTTCCCCACCCATTACGGCACGTTCCTCACGCGATTCGTGGCCCCATGGGGAGCTCCACCGACAGCGGCACCTACAACGCGTTACTCACAACTGCATATGGCTGGGCCCTTCGCCAGGATGATGTTTCATGTTCCCCGACCCCCCCCGCCCCCACTTGAAAAAGAGGGCCAATCGGGGCCGTCGGGTTGGGCTCGGGTGGTTTGGTTGAAAGAGGCCCTGGGCCACACAAATAAATACACACAAATAACAGGATTCCCTATATTTTCATATATTTTCTAGGTTTTCGCATATTTTCCCATATTTCTTCACTTCACATATTTTCCCATATTTTCCTGGGAGTGGACGATGAATTGTGTCTGTGTGTTTCTTTCCCTCCTGGTTGGTGGGCGGTGACTCACCCCCCCCCTGACTGTCGCCACATCTTCACGGTCTGAGCCGGCTCGGCCGCCCGGCCGCTGCTTCCTCCCCCCGCGCCCCGCCTCGCTCTCCCCATGGGGCCCCGTTCGCCTCCGATGCGTCGGCCGCGTGTTAGGCTCGAGTGACTCAGGCTGCCGCTGAACGATCGGGGATCTCCTGACCCGGATCCGTGCAAGCCTGGGTCGGCCGGGCTTTGCAGGATCCTGCAAGCTCCTGCAGGATCCTGCACCCAAGCCCGGGTCAATGCACCCCAAGATCTGGCGCTCCGGCTCCTCCTCCTCATCCTCCGTTTCCTCCTCCTCCTCCTCCTCCTCCTCCTCCTCCTCCTCCTCCTCCCACACATCCTTCCCCTCCACTCCTCCTCCTCCTCCTCCTCCTCCTCCTCCTCCTCCTCCTCCTCCTCCTCCTCCTCCTCCTCCTCCTCCTCCCCCTCCTCCTCCTCCTCCCCCTCCCCCTCCTTCCCCTCCACCTCCTCCTCCTCTTCTCCCACCCCCTTGGCATTGACCCCCGTCTCAAGTGCGCGCCAGCTGCCTGGCCGGGCGGCGCCCCCGCCGCGGAAGGCCAAGACGCAGAGGCCGTGGACGAAAAAACACTGCCCGCGCCAGGGCTCCCCCTCAAAAATGAAGCGGCCCTGGGACACACAAATCAATACACACAAATAAAAGTATTCCCGATAGTTTCCCATTTTTTTATTTTTTTTTCCTTACCCCCCCTCCCAAATTTTGCATATTCTCCTGGGAGTCGACGATTAATTGTGTCTGTGTGTTTCTTTCCCCCCTGGAAAAAATGCTGCCGCCACGGCTGGGTGCCCCCCCGAGAGCTCCGGCGCCCCGGCGGGGGGGCCGAGGGGGGCAGCTGGAGGAGGGGAGGCTTCTTAGTTAGAAGGAGATTTCTAGCCATCGCTTGGACGTCCACTTCCTGTGCTCTTGCTGGTTTCGTGCGCGGCTTCTTCGCCAAATGATCAGGGATGCTCCTCGATGGTCCTCGCCGAGGAGAAAAACGCACACGTCCGAGCGATGCCAGGGGCTGCTTCTGAGAAGGCACTGGCCTGATATCTACAGGCAAGGCCCGCGCCCTCTAAGAAGCAGGGGTGCTTCTGAGAAGCCTTCTCCCCACAGGGGGATTTTCGACGAAAAATAAAAAAAAAAAAAACACCCCCAACAAGTACCCCAAAAAGGTCAAAACATACCAAACAATAGTCCCCCGGCTGTTTTTGGACTGTGTTTTGACAATTTTGGGTTTTTTTTTTATGTTTCGTCGAAAATCCCCCTGTAGGGGGACAGGCCCGACTTAAGCCTGCCCCCCGCTGCGCGTGGCCGACTTTCGGGTCGGGCGACAGGGGGGGATAGCAAAAGGGGGGGGTTGAGAATCAGCTCACGTGGCTGATTTTCCCGGCGCCTCCAGGCGCCGGGAGGCCCCCAGGTATCGAGGAACGGGCCCCTCGGTGAGGCCGAAGCCAGCTGCATGCAGCAAATTTCGTGACCCCCCCTCTCCTAATCCCTCCCCTTCGCCCGGCCCGAGACTTGCGTGCTTGCGGGGGGGGGGGGGCGGGGGCCAGCATGCCGCCGTGGCCGCCGGCGCGCGGGCGCCGACCACCCTCGCCGCAGCGTGCGCGCCCCGTTCCCCCCCCCCCTCTGGCGCCCCGCGGGGCGCCCGCGGGGCGCCCCGCGGAGCGCCAGAGGGGGGGGGGGGGCTCCGCCGCCGCTGCGAGAGAGCCGCGCGGACTTTCGACAGCTTGCGTCTATAAGGAGGAGGAGGAGGAGGAGGAGGAGGAGGAGGAGGAGGAGGAGGACCCGCGGGGCCCGGAGGCCGGGCGGGGGGAGGGGGGGCGAGGCCAGTACGAGGATGAAATCACCCGTGGGATCAGCAGCGCTGGGATCCGAGAGCATAGAGGATAGAGTGAGGATAGAGATCATCATCATCATCATCATCATCATCAGCGTCATCATCATCATCATCATCATCATCATCATCATCATCATCATCAGCATCATCATCATCATCATCATCATCATCATCATCATCATCATCATCATCATCATCATCATCATCATCATCATCATCATCCTCATCATCATCATCATCATCAATCGGGTGAGGATAGATCGATCCTCCCTGAGAGCCGGCCGGCTCTTTGGCGAAGGAGCGGAGCCGCGGCCTCCTCACCGTCACGCGAGCCGTCTTCTGCCCCCTCGCCAAAAGGTCAGGTCCTGAGCCGAGCCGCCGCGGACTTGAGCCAAAATGGCAACGGGTCTCCTCCTCCTCCTCCTCCTGCTCCTCCTCCTCCTCCGTCTCCCCCTCCGTCTCCTCCTCCGCCTACTCCGTCTCCTCGGGCGCCGCGGCCTTCTCAGTGCGTTCCGGAACGCACTGGAACGGATCTCTCCTCCCGCCAGCCCCGTCCGAGGGGGGGAAGGGGCGGGTCCTGCTGGAGCTTCCCGCAGGAGTTCGAGAACTGGGTCCACGGGTGGGGCACCTTCTTGGGTCGGACGAGCGAGGGGGCGGCTGGCAGTGGCGAAGTTCGCGGATCGGCTCACGCAGCTGCTGTTCCAGGTGCCGGGGGCGCCAGTGCTCAGAGGAGGACAAGGTACCTATACCGATACCTCTCCTCTTCGCCGAGGCTGGATGCGCCCCGAAGTCCTGGTCAGAGCGCGCCCCAGGGGAGGTCCTCGGAGAGGCGGCATCGGCATCTGTCTGCTCCCCCGAACGCATCGAGAAGAGCGCCCGGTGGCCTGGCCCGAGACCAGCTGCACGCAGTACAGTCAAAAACCCTAAGAAAGACGCGCGGTAAGGACGCAAGACCCTTGGAAGCCGAACCTGGGATTTCTGGGGCGGCGAGAGAGGCCAAGGAAGAGCCGCAAGAGCAAGGGAGAGCAAGGACGCAAGGGTACCCTGAGCAGAGTCGCGCGTCCTCATAAGGGCTTTTGACTGTGGACTTCGCACCCCCTCTCTCCCTAACGATTCCCCCCTGCCGTCCGACCGACCCCAGCAAGTGGCGGCAGGACCGCCCGCACACGCAGTGAGCACCCCTGCGACCCAGGCCCTGCAGCTCCGACGTGCCATCGAGGAGAAGTCGGACAGGAGACACGGCGCAGCGAGGCAGGCGCGCGGGACACCACTTCTCGGGTCGGGCGCAAGGGGGGGATCGCAAGGGGAGGGGTTTGAGCATCAGCGCACGCTGCTGACTTTCCTGGCGCCGCCCGGCGCCATGAGGCGCCCATGTCTCGAGGAGTGGGCCCCTCGGTGAGGCCGCAACCAGCTGCATGCAGCAAGTTTCGTCGCCGCCCCTTTCCCAAGCCCCCCCTGTCGTCCGGCCCGAACTTCGTGGGGGCCGGAGTAGTTGCCCCTCCCCTACGCCGGGACGCGCGCGAGGGCAAGGCGCGCAGGACGAAAACGAGGAGTCGGACGGGACAGAGCCCCGGGCGGGCCCAGCAGGAGCGAGGACGAGGACGACGAAGGCGGCGGCGACGACGCGGAGGGGCCTCCAGCCCCAGCGGCAGCAAAGCCGTCGCCGTCGCCGGCGTCGGCGTCGGCGTCGAGGATCGAGGGTCGAAGAGGGGGACTGGCTCGGGGGGGAACCGTCGGCCCGGGAGCGGCGATGCATCGCACGGGCGGAGCGGCCTGGCGGCAACGCCCCGCTCGCCCCCTGGGCAGGCCCCCGGGCACGCGCGGCGAAGGGGCGATGGTGGTCGGCGACTGCCCAAGGAGACGAGGCCAGGGCGAGGACAAGACCGGGTGTGGATGAATCGGGAATCTTTGAGATCCGGCGGTTCTGGAGGATGGCTCGAGCGCCGCGGTCTTCTCAGAGCGTTCCGAAGAGCTCTGAGAGCGTTCCAGAACGCTCTGGACAGAATTTGTCCTCGCCCTGGTTCCGTCCGATGTCCCCTGGGCAAGTCCCCGCCCCTTCGGCGACCCCTGCGCCGCCGCGCGCGGCTTGTTCCTTTTCCTCGTCCTTCTGCTCTCCGTCCTCGTTGTGCGCCCGAAACTTCCTCCTGGAGCTCGTCGTGGTCGTCGTCGTCGTCGCACTCCTCCTTCTCCTCCTCCTGCCTACACGCAACGAATTACCCGACGCAAGACTGGCCTTTGGTGCACGGGTTTAGGGGGGCGCGGTCCGTCACCGCACTGTTTTAGAGCCTCGGAAGCCCCAGTCGCCCGAGACGTCCTCGGAGGACGATTCGATTCCCAGAACAGCGCGGTGACCCTGAATCCCCATTTACTCCTCCTCCTCCTCGCCCCCCAAGTCCCATGCTTCCCAGGCGACCAGAATAGCCCCATTCAAACTATCGTGGGCGTGACATGCAAAATATAGGGACCATCAGCTCTGCATCAAATCTTGCGCACTGCCGTGCTAGTGACGGCCAGGTCCTGCCTCGACGACGAACATCTTAAAATTTCTGGCACAGCGTAAACCGGTCGATATGAAACGATTCCCGCTCTCGGAAATCCCCGAGAATGTTCGACCGTATCCCTCGTGCGTATTTTGTGCCGCATGTTGTCTTCTGTTGGTCCCATGGCACCAAACGGCCCGCGAAGAGTGCTCAGCCTTGAACGCCCGCACTTGCGTCGCCGCCACGTCGACGCGTCGCGAACCTGGCGAGGGCACTCCCGTAAATCCACTAACGACACACTCCAGGAAACCGTCGTGACCAGTCGTTTGAACTGCGCCCAGCCGTGGCCACGATAAGGGCAGAATGAGCAGGGGAAAAGTGAGAGACTGGAGACTAGAGACTGCGCCTGTGTCGTCCCAGGGGGCCAGCCCTACGTGGGGGGCTAAGCGCTGCATCAATACGCTGTGGTTGTGTCGGAGAGGGGAATTTCGGCTACACGCAAGAGTGCACCAAGGGTCACTCCAGCGACAGGGCAGTCTCATGCCCCAGTCGAGGGTGGAAGGAGGGAGGTCGGGGGCAGCCAAGAGGGGGGCGCCGAAGAGGGGGGTGGCACATCCTGGCCGGCGGCACGTGCGCGGCCAGGCCAAGGGGGGGGGGCCGGGGACGCATGGATGAGGATAGGCGCCATGATATTTCGGGAACTATCGGGAAATAGAATGGGGCAAGACACGACATAAGCACAAGATGTTGACAGTCCGCGCGGATTTGTGTTGGATCTGCGCTTGACCCCCGTCTCTGGCGCGCGGAACGCGCCAAGGGCGACCCCGGAAGCGCCGCCAGAGGGTCCTGGGCGCCGATCCAAAAAGTCCGCGCGGAACTCCAAACAGTTTTATGTTTTCGGGCGTAGCCCGAATTCGTTTCTCGCGAGGTAAACTACACTGAACCAAACTGAACTGAACAGACTGGTCGCACCCGCTATGCGACGGTTTTATTCTCGGCCGCCATGGGCACAACTTATGGCGCAACCGATAAGGGACGGTTTTATTCTCGGCCGCCATGGGCACAACCTATGGCTCAACCAAAAGGAGACGATTTTATTCTCGGCCGCCGCGGGCGCATCCTATGGCACAACCGATCGGAGACAGCTTTATTATCAGCCGCCGAAGGCGCAACCTATGGCGCAACTGATAGGACGCGGTCTTTTTCTCGGCCGCTGACGGCGCTAGCTATGGCGCAACCGTTAGGACACGGCTTTATTCTCAGCCGCCGAGGGCGCAACCTATGGCGCAACCGATAGGAGACAGTTTTATCCCCGGCCGCCGAAGGCGCAACCTATGGCGAATATGATAGGAAACGGTTTTATTCTCAGCCGCCGAGGGCGCAGCCTGCGGCGCAACCGATAGGAGGGGGCTTCATTCTCGGCTGCCGAAGGCGCAACCTATGGCGCAACCGATAGGAGACAATTTTATTCTCGGCTGCCGAAGGCGTAACCTATGGCGCAACACATAGGAGACGGACGTACAGGCGTCTCAATGCTCGGACTGCGATCCTCGACCTGTCGTCACTTTGCAAGGCCGACCGGTGTCGACAGCACAATCGGCAATAGGTACGTATTCAACCGAGCTCGCAGCGAAACCGAAACCGGGCAGGGCGAACGCGGCACCCGAACGAACAGAACCGACCGAGAGCAACTGACTGCGACGCAGCCGATTTGACTGAACCGAGCACACCCTAAAGCGTTCCAAATGAGGCCCGAATAGATGGAGTCAGAGGGTCGCGCCGAATCGCCGGTACATCGCTGATGCATCGGCGATGCATCGAAGACGTCGAATCAAATCGGAACTTCGCCGACGCATCGGCGATGCGGTGCAATCTTCCGGCCCAAAAAACTTCGACCCTACTTTGGGAGGTCTGGACCACGCTAACCTCGTCCTGACCCCTCCCTGGGTGGCGTCCAACAAAGGGGGCGTCCAAGAGGGACGCTGAAAGAGAAATAGGGCGGCCCTGACATCCAACCCTCCCCAATGTGAGTCCATGAACGATGGAACACCGCGTGGGCCAAGAGAGAACAAAAAGCAGCTGAGCGGGCCAAGAAATCGCCGGAGCAACGTGTCTCGCCATCACTGAAGGGGCCCTGCGACACACCTATAGATAGACACAAAGATAAGAGGAGTCCCCATATTTCCCATATGTTTTCTGTGTGTGTGTGTCTTCCCCCCCCAAATATCCATAGTTTCCCATGTCTGCTGGGGAATATTCGACGATTCATTGTGTCTGTGTGTTCTCTCTCCTCCTGAATCACGCGGCACACAGCACGCAACCATCGCTGGAACTGGCACGCCACGGCTTCTCAGCCGCAGCAGCTCGCGGGGGAAGGAAAGACACAAAATCCTTCGTCACCGGGAGCGCTGCCCAGACCCTGAGAGCGGACGGGGGGCCCTCCCTCTGTGCCTCCGGGGCTACAGTCGGGGCGTTGACCTAAGGAACCCTAAATAAGGAACGAGGCCCCTTTTTTCCAAAAGTTACACTTCGATTTCCGATCGAAAACACAAGGACAACCTGAGGCAATCTGCGAAACACTTAAGGAACGCAGAGCCCCTCCCCAACCAAAAGGGTTTCTTCTTCAGGGCCCCGACTGTACCCCTCCTTTTGGGCGCCCCGAACCAAAACGAAGCAGGACAGGCACAGCACCAGACCGAGAGAAATCGGGGGTCTCTGAGATTCGGCAGCCCTGGAAGATGCACCCAGAGCGCTGCGAGAGCGTTCGGGAACGCTTTGGCACGACTCGTCCCTGTCCCAGGGGCTCCCGACTTCGCGCTTCGCGCTGCGCGGAGCGCGAAGTGCGAATAACTTCGCGCTCTCGCGCCGCCTTCCAGGGGAGAAGAGGAGGGTGAAGAGTAGTCGGAGCCGAACCGCGAAGCGCGAATATCTTCGCGCCCTCGAGGGCGCCCTTGCTGTCCTGGCCCCAAACAAGCCTGGGGGGCCCCGACCGTCGGGAGCGCCCGCGAGGGGGGCGTCCAAGATGCGGGGGGAGCGCAGAATCCTGGCCTGCAGCACGTGCGCGGCCCAGGGGGGGGGGGTCGGGGCCGCACCGAGAGAAGACGAGGCGCCATGAACACTGGGTTAGTCGGCGGTGGACAAACCTCCCTTTAGTAAACCTCCCTTCAGTGAAAACGGCCTAGGACCAAAACCAACGGACCTAGACCCGCAAAAACGACGGCCACGACGCCCTCTCGAGAACCGAAAACGGCCAATTCGCTAATCGCCGTGTCAGGGTAGGAGGTCTATCAACCTCCAAATTAGGAGGCAACTACTGGGAGGTTGTCGTCGAAAAGATGAAGGAGGATTGAGCCCAATTTTGGGAGCTGCTACGCCGGAGTGGGCCTCGGACCAAACAGGATTGAGCCGGGTTATGCGGCATGAAGCGGGATTAAGCCGGATTCCGCGGGATTAAGCTGGATTAAGCCAGATTTCGGACCAGGGCGAAAACAGAATTCGACCTCCCAGGAGTTGCATCCGAAACTGGGGAGATCTCATGGCCCCCGCCATGAATTCCCCCCCCCAGCCATCACCCCCTACTTGCACAGAGCGCGTTCCACTACTCGTGGAGTGCCTTCTCGCAGACGCCCGGAACAAAAAACAAGTTTTCCTCGATGTGATGGAGCGTGAATCCCCCGCGGCGGATTTTGCCCATTTGCGAGCAGCTGCTTTGCGAGTAGTGGAAATAGCTTGTCGACTCTTGGCCGCCCCCGAGGCCTCGTGCTAGGTCGGGCGTGTCGCCCTACAGGCGGATTTTGGACGAAAAATAAAAAATGGCCAAAAGATGCAAAAACAACAAAATCGAAAAATGATTGAAAAATCGTCCCCCTACTATTTTTTGACTATTTTTGGATATTCCCCCTGTAAAGGGACGAGCCCGACTTAACATTTGCGAGCAGCTGCTTTGCGAGTAGTGGAAATCGTTTGTCGACTTCTGGTCGGGGGCGCGCAAACATAAATTAGCGATCCATGGATTTGGCGCGCGGTCGCCAAATTCATGGATCGGGGGAGGTGCCCTCCCCAAAATGCGGCCGGTGCCGCCTCGTTCGGCGGATGAAATCCGCGATTCCTCAGGGAAACTGGACCCGTCGCTAATCCACGCCCCCTTGATCCACGTTTGCGATCGCCTGATCGGCAGCTGCTTTGCGAGTAGTGGAAATCGCACGTCAACTCTTGCCGCGCACAAGGGGGTGGAAGGAGGGGGAAGGCTTCTTTAGATAGAGGCCGCTTCTTAGAAGGCGCCGGCCTTACATCTATAGACAAGGCCCGAGCCTTAAGAAGGTGCTTCTAAGAAGCCTTCCCCCCTCCCCCATACCCCCCTCTGCACTTGGTCGAATTTCGTCATCTGGCCTACCGCCTACCGGTTGTGTGACCCGCATGTCACCTGGAGAGCCCCGCGGATCTTCAGGAAGCGTGCAGGCCTTATCTTGGAGCAAAGTATGTTGAGCTGGACAGGGGAGAACATCAAGGGGTTGGCAACAAACATGTGTTGCCAAAGATCTAGCGCCTCGGATGCGTTCCGTGCGAGTGAGTCCGTCTGAATCACAGTGAGTATGACTGAGTCTGGGCACGAGTGGATCCGAGTATGAGTGCTCTGCGCACGAGTGATGTGGGCACGATCGAGTCCGACTGTGAGACTTGAGTTGTGGATGCCACGGCAATGGACACCCTACCAGCCCTATCCTTGAATTTAGAATGTGTTTAAGATGTCGGAAAGATGTTCCAAAAAATGTGTCAAACATGTTTCCACACGTTTAAAACATGTTCAATATATGTTTTAGACATCTGGCAATTATTTGGCAACATGCTTCCTCTCCATTGATGCTCCTCCACAACTCTACGCACGAGTGATGAGGGCACGATCGAGTCCGACTGTGAGACTTGTGGCTGAGCTTGTCGACTCCTGGCCGCCCCCGAGGCCTCTCGGGCTGGGCGAAAGGGGGGGAATAGCAAAGGGGGGGTTTGAGAATCAGCTCACGTAGCTGATTGTCCCGGCGCCTCCCGGCGCTAGGAGGCGGGCATGTATCGAGGAATGGGCCCAGCGGCGGGGCCGAAACCAGCTTCACGCAGCAGATTTCGTACCCCCCCTTTTGCCTATCCCCCCTTTTCGTTCGGCCCGATCTACGCTTAAGTCGGGCCTGTCCCCCTACAGGGGGATTTTAGACGAAACCAAAAAAAGTAAAAAATGCAGCAAACATCTCAAAAATTGTAAAACCATCGTCCACAGGCTATTGTTTTTACTATTTGGGAATTTTCCGCGGCCGACCGTCCCGGCATTCCTATAGCCCTACCACGAAATGTTCTTAGAACCCTGAAATGTTCTAAGAACAAAGACAATGTTCTTAGACCCTAAGCCCGATGTGCCAAAACAGGACAGTCTCAGCCAGAAATATCCTAAGAACATTTCGTGGGAACCACAAAAGGTTCTTAGAACATTGTTCCCTACCTAGGCTCTGCCTAGAAGGGTTCTTACTCGGTATGCTTAAAGGGCCGGGCAGTGCAACTCGCCCCGGGCGGTTCCCCCAGTATCCACCCCGCAGTTCCCCCAGCTACGTCCCCTTAGCTTAGCTTTGCTTATCTCATCTTAGCTTAGCTAACTTCATATTACCTTAGCTTAGCTTCATCTTAGCTTAACTTAGCTTCATATAGATGCTGCTTTCCTAGATCCTCCAACTCCTAGGTAGGATCGCACTGGGATAATTTGTTTAGTAGGGCTATGGGCGAGCCAGGACGCCTCGCCACTGCTTGATCCTGGCCGCCTCCGAGACCTCAGCGCCGCCCCCCCGCCGGTGGCGCGGCCGGCACCGGGCCGAAGGACTGCCACCACGTCTGGCGCGGGGGCCCGCCGCGCCGCCCCGGGCGCGCGGAGGAGGCCACCCCCGAAGAAGAAGAAGAAGAGGCAGAAGAAGAAGAAGAAGAAGCAGCGGAAGAGAGAAGAAGAAGAAGGAGAAAAAGAGAGAAGAAGGAGAAGAGGAGAGAATAAGCAGGAGGATAATGATTATAAGAAGAGTAAGGAGAAGAAGAGAGAGCCAACCCCCAAAAAGAAGAAGAATAAGCAACATAAAAGAGAAGAAGGAGGAAAAGGAGAAGAAGAGAGAAGAAGGAGAAGAAGGAGAAGAAGAAGAGGGGGCCAGCCGATCAGGCCACCCTGAGGTCGGGCACATCTGGGCGGTGGACAAGCCTCCCTTTAGTAAACCTCCCCTCAGTGAAGACGACCTAGGGCCGAAATCGACGGACCTGGGCCCGCAAGAATGACGGCCGCGACGCCCTCTCGCGAACCGAAAACGGCCAATTCCTTAATCGGCGCGTCAGGGTAATTAGGAAGTCTGTCCACCTCCGAATATCCCCCTACAGGCGGATTTTGGGGGACAAATAAAACATAGTCCGAAAATATGCCCAAACAGTTACAAATACTAAGAAAGATCGTCCCCAGACTATGTTTTGACTATTCTTGAATATTCCTCCTGTAGAGGGACAGGCCCGACTTAAGGCCACCCTCCTGCGCACATGGCGCCCGACAGTGCGCCGGCGCGGGGTCAACGTGAGCCTAAGGCTCCTGACGAAAAAAAAACCTCCGGGGCCCCAAGTAATGCACGCTCGAGGGGCCCAAGATCGTCAGAGTCGCGTTCCGGGACATCACGCGAATCAGAACAAACAACACAACCAAAAACGCTGGCTGGGGGTCACACCGAGGTTGAGCAGGGACCGACCGTCCCGGCATTCCTGTAGGCCTACCACGAGATGTCCTTAGAACCCTGAAATGTTCTGAGCACAGAAACGCTGTTCTTAGAACATAAACCCGATGTGTTAAACCAAGACTGTCCCAGCCAGCAATGTTCTAAGAACATCTCGTGGAAACCACAAAAGGTTCTTACAATATTCTTTGGTGGGCCTATAGACGAGCCGGGGCGCTGCTCACTCCCTTCCCCGCGAAAGCAGGTGGGGGCCTTCCCTTTGACAATTCTGGGAGCAGAGCCATCTTCCGAGAACACCCGCGCCGAGGTGCTCGGTTGAAACTGGCATGCGCTCCCGTCTCCATCTTCCTCCTCCTCCTCCTCCTCCTCCTCTTCCTCCTCCTCCTCCTCCCCCTCCTCCTCCTCCTCCTCCTCCTCCTCCTCCTCCTCCTCCACTCCATTCCCATCTCTTCCGAAGCCTCGGGCGAAGCCGCGGAGGCTTCGCGCCCTTGCGCGGCCCCACCGGAGGCAGGCCGGCTTGGCGGCCCCAGCCGCGCCGCGCGGAGAGTGCGAATATACCTTCGCGCCAGTGGTGGACAGAACATTTGAGCATCGGTTGTCACGTTCAATACGCCCCGCGCAGGTCCCCACATCCAACGATGGGGTTCTTCTGATTACTCAGGCGCCTCCTACTCCCGCCTTCCTCTCCTCCGTCCCTCCTTCTCCTCTTGCACGCCATGTACTTGGACGGCGCCGACCCCCGCCCAGCCTCCCTCCTCCTCCTCCTCCTCCTGATACACTCAGACTCATAATTAGATTAGAACCACACGCGCACTTCTCGCGCGCTTAGGTCCTAGCAAACACTAGTTGCAGCCCGAAATGTTCGCAATCGGAGGCCATATATTGTCACGGATCGTGCCCCTCCGGGAGCTTCCCCGGCGGCCCCGAAGACAGGCTTGGATTCGCGTCCCCCCGCCCGTGTCGGTACACCCCTCACAGGGATCGCGCCCCGCAAGGAGCTCCACCGACTTCCCTGGAGACAGGGTTGACATAGTGGCACGCCCCTTACGAGGATCGTGCCCCGCAAACAACTGCATCTGCGGCACCAGATGGGAACTTCATAGCGACGCCCAGCTCACGTCGGCACACCTCTCACACGGATCGTGGCCCGCAAGGAGTTCCACAGACGGCCCCAGAGACAATTGTCGCATCCTGCCCCCCGCTTACTTCGGCACAACTCTCACACGGATCGTGGCCCTCAGGAAACTCCACCTGCGGCCCCAGAGTTAGGCTTCGCATGGCCATCGTGTCACACCCCATCACGCGGATCGTGTCCACAAGGAGCTCAGCCCAGGGGCCCAAAGACGAATCTTGAAACCATGTTAAGCCCTCTTTGAGCGCTCTTTGGCCGTCTTCGGGCCCTCTTGGACCTCTCCGACGCTGTCTTGGAGGTAGCTTGGGCGCTCTTGGGGCTGCCTTGTGCCGTCTTGGGGGCCTCTGAGGCGCTCTTGGGGCTGACTTGGGCCGTCTTGGGCCGAAAGTTGCAAACAATAGGGCCATTGGATCTGCGCCCCGTTTTGCGTACCCCCCCCACCCACCTCTCATTATTCCTCCCGACCAGTGGATCGCGACGCAAGCGCGCTTTCCGTCATCCGCCGCCCCCTGTGTTCTTGACAGGGTGCCTGGAGTACTGGACCCTATACGACTTGAGACTGGTTTTTGTCTCAGAAGAGCTCCCCCCTGGGGCGTCGGCCGATCCCGCCGTCCACCTGAAGGCTGCCAAAAATGCCCGGGCGGTTGCCCAAGTCGCCTCCCAGACGGACAAGATGACCCAAGATGGCCTCCAAGACAGCCAAGATGGGCTACAAATTCGCCCAAGATGATTCAAGATGGCCTCCAAGACGGCCCGAGAGGGTCCAAGATGCCTCAGAGTCTGCCCAAGAAACCTCCAAGACGACCCAAGACGGCCCAAGAGGCCTCCAAGACGCCTCCAAGAGACCTCCAAGTCGGCCCAAGAGGCCTCCAAGAGGTCCTCCAGGAGGGCATGAGGAGGCCAAACTCATTGATTGTCCTTAGATGCTTGAAGGAATTTGGCATTTCCTTCTTTTCGGCCTTCCGACGGCCCAAGCCAGCCCAAGAGGCCCGCAAGATTGTCCTCAGAGCGCCCAGGAGGCCTCCAAGATGGCCCCAGGACGGCCCAAGAAGCCCCCCTAGACGGCGAAGAGGGAGCCCAAGAAAGCCCGAGAGGCCCCTATGACGGCTAAGATTCCCCCCCAAGGCGGCCCCGAAGCATCCCAAGAGGGCCCTACGACGGTCCAGAGAGGCCCCCCCAAGACGGCTCGCGGCGGCGTTAGACGGCCCGGGAACGCCCTAAGACTGCCAAAGAGGCCATGAACAAGCCCCCAAAGGCCCCCGGAAGGCCGAAGGTGACCCCAAAAAGGCCTCCAAGAGACTCCAAGGAAGCTCCCAGGAGACCCCAAGAGTGCTCCAAGAGGCTCCCAAGAGGTCTACTCCTCCTCCTCCTCCTCCTCCTCCTCCTCCTTTTTCTTCTCCTCCTGTTCCTCCTGCTCCTCCTTCTCCCTGTGCCTTCCGCTCCTCATTATCCTATTCCCCACGTGTTCCCCGAAGGGTTTCAACGACTGCTGGTGGAAAACATGATCCGATAGCTTGACCAAGCTCCAAAAACAGCCACACAGGCACTTGCAAAAAGGCAGGTGGCGGCGGTGATTCGTCAAATAAACATAAACCCCAAGGTTCCCCATGTTTGTCCGTATCTCCTGGATGTTCGTGTTCCCCCTGCTTCGTATCTTGATTATATAGTTTCCGGGTGTGTGTCTGTGTGTTCCCCCCTCCTGAAATCAGCATCGCAAAACAATGACAACCACGGCACGTTCTGAATAGGCTGGCGGAAACATAGCGCAGGGAGGCGTTCGAAGTAGGTCGAGCTTCGGGTCAGCCCTGCAAGAGGAGAGTTCTCCATTTCTGAAGTAAGATGAAACGTTCACCACATTGGGATCTGGAAAAACGAGCAAACGTTATTTCAGCGTTCGGCCTGTATGTTCAACCGAGGCTGGCCGAGGTAATCCTCGCGTCAGTGAGCGAGCGTAGGAAGGCGTTTGAAGTAGGTTGAACTTCGGCTTCCCCGAAAGAGGAAAGCAAAAGGAATGTCCTGACGCGATCACTTGGGAGCGCGCAAACATGGATCAGCGATCCATGGATTCGGCGCGCAGTCGCCAAATCCATGGATCGGGGGGGGGGAGCAAGCTTCGGGCCAGAGAGAAGCAGCATGGCGGACAGGGATCGGGAACACAGAGGTGGGATAACGTCCCGCGAGAAAAAGTTGAGAGACCTCCAGAATGGAGGAAAAAACTTGTTTTTGGTCGGCGGGTCGAGAGCGGGCCTCTTCTGGTTAAGAGCTAGGCGGGGCGCGCGAAGCACTAATTGGGGAGACAGGGCGCGGGCGGGCGGGGCCTCAGGCGGCCGGAGGGTGCGGAGTACAGGCGGTGCCGAAGAGCTTGCACAGGAAAAGGTACGCCTTGATGGAGGGAAAAAACACCCACACCCTGAAAGATGACCTCCGTGCCGCGACACGGACATCTCATGGAATAGGAACGGTGCAACACGGACAGGACACTCAGAGTCTTCATCCTGGGAAGCTGGGCTGGCTGCGTGATCCACAGCCCCTGCAGCCAAACAAGGATATTTGAGCTCCCTCGCGGCAACTGCCCCATGCAAAAAGCCCTCCGGAGCGTGTGGAAGAGGGCTGTCACACGATGCGGCCTTGTAGCTTCGTTTTCGTTCTGCTTTCGTTCTCCCTCGTTGTTTGTCTTCGATCCACCTCTACCGCACAACGAAGTCGAAACGAAGAAACAGCCCACGAGATCGTCGAAACACCGTTGAGGTTCAGCCCTGGCATCACATGCTGTGCCCATCGGGGGCTGCATGCTATGAGATGCGGTACCTGGCCATCGCTCGGACGTCCATTCCCTGTGCTTCTTTCGGTTTCGTGCGTGGTTTTCTCGCCACATGATCAAGGATGCTCCTCGATGGTCCTCGCCGAAAGGAAAATGCACACGTCCGAGCGATGCCAAGGGCTGTGCCCATCGGGGGCTGCATGCTGTGAGATGCGGTGCTCCGATCGTGTCTCGCGCGGTCGCCACACTGAGAGTGCACCGCCGGCACGGTATGCGGAGGCATCCGCAGGTCCCCGGGGGGAAGCGAGACAGGGCATGCGTGAAGCTCCTCCTCCTCCTCCTCGTCCTCCTCCTCCTCCTCCATCGCGTGACCACTGCAGTCGGGCCGCTGAACGAAAGAACGCCAAATAAGGAACGAAGCCCCTCCTTGGCCCTGTAAGCGCCTCCGTGCCTCAGGAGGGCAGGAGGAACAGCACCGGAGGAACCTGAGGAACATCGAACCCCTTCCGAACCCAAACGGTTCATTATGTCAGCGTCTTGACTGTACACAGCCTGAAGCAGGCATGAGATGTGCTCAGCGACTCGACAACTTTCGGAGAACATTCCTTGTCCTTCACACTTGTGGCAAGGAGATCACCAGCTGCAAGAACCCTGATAGCTTGCTGCGGACTCTTCTGGCGCCACGTCTTCATGATGAAATCCAGGCTGATATACTCCATTCCTTCTGCCGACTGTCTCCCATGGACATGCACTCTGAGTCGGTCCTCTGCTGCCGGCTGCAGCCCCTCTGCTGTAGGCATCTGAGTGGCAATCCAACAAGTCCACATTGGGCCAAAAACGCTGTTTGTACATGCGCTCGTACAAGATAATGACAGTGGACCCGAGGAAAATGAATGGCAAAACGTTATCCAAAATGAGCCTCAACTCAGCTTCCTCCGCAGAGCTGCGCCCGCCACCGTGTCACTGAGGTGCGCATTCCCAATCGATCCAGAGAAATTTGATCCACGGTTTATTCCGCAACACCTCCTGCAACTTCATAACCTTTGAACCATCCGGGTCAAAATGATCTGGGACGGGCCACCGGTGGAAATTGCCGCCATGTCGGCAGCGAACTTTCCGTTCACGACGTCTTGAATGTCCATCTTGCGCTTGACCAGCAGGCCCTTGTCACGCCACACCTGATGACGTGGGAAGGGATCACCCGCCGGCACGCGCATGATCTCGCACAGAGGGAGGAGCCAGAACTGCTTGCTGCGGAACACAGAACGTCCGACCTCGTCGATCACCTCGTCTCATTCTTCATGCGCGATAAGGATGCAAGGGCCTTGGACGCCCGTTTCGAAGCTTTTCGAGCGGGGCGCGGCCAGCGAAAGCGGCGAAGCATGGACCGAGGAGGCAAGGATGCAAGGGTACCCTTGGGAAGGCTGCCCATCCTTCCTGTGCGGGTTGACTGTGGTGTTTTCCGAAAATGGTGGTCGGTAGTAAGCTTAGGTCGGGCATGTCCCCCTGCAGGCAGCTTGTGGACGGAGAATCTAGAAACATATCCAAAAACTGATCAAACACGTTCCAAACAAATCGTACAACAAATCGTCCCCAGACTATTTTTGGCCTGTTTTTTTTTAATTCCCTCTGTAGGGTTAGGTCGGGCATGTCCCCCTACAGGGGGATGTTCGACGAAAAATAAAAAATACACCAACACACATCCGAAAAAGGTCAAAAAATACTCAAAACAATTGTCTCCAGATTATTTTTGGGCTATTCTTGGACTATGTTTGGGGTATCTTGTATTTGTCGTCGAAAATCCCCCTGTAGGGGGACAGGCCCGACTTAACTGTAGAGGGACGGGCCGGCTCGACTTCACATGCAAACGCTGCACGTGGGATCCTGCTGCACAGAAACGCCCCCCGGAGCACCGCCTCGCGGGATTCCGGGGCGCTTCGGCGCGTCCGCGGGTCGACTGCACTCAAGAGCGACCCTGGGCAAGAGAGACCTTTAGTGCGCGGCTTGTTGGGCGCCGCAGGGGGGCCAAACACAGGCACGCGAGACGCTATCACCGCATCGCGTTCGGCGGTCGGGGGACCCCATTTGGCCCGCACCAAAGGTCACTCCGGCGAAAGGTCATTCTTACGTCTAGTCGAACGGGGCCCGTCGCGCGAGTTGCCCGGGGCATCCGAGAGGTCGGGAATGTGTGCAGTCGGCCAACACTGGACAGGACACGCGAGAGGACGCAAGACCCTCCCGGGGGCCACGTCGCCATAGGAGTGTAGGAGAGCACGGGCTCGCGAGACACAGGACACAAGGGTACCCTTGATTTGGCAGGGCCGACCTACTAATCCGGGCCGACTGCACCGACAATTTCAACATGCGCCCAAACGACCCAGGGGCCCATCTTGCTCCCAATATCATCCCAGGATTGTCCTAGAGGCTGCCAAGGGGGGGCAAAGACGGCGCAGTGGGGGCCCAAGATGAACACCAAAAAACGATCCCAAAGACCCTGAGGATTGCCCACAGACGTCCCAACATGGCCTCTGAAGGCCCGAGATGGCCCAAGAACGCCCTAAGAAGTTCCAATAAGGCCCTGAGATTATCCCAGGGACGGCCCCAAAGGTTACAAAAAAGCCCCCAAACGGCTCAAGACAGCCCCAGAAGGCTCCCTCTCGATTGTTCCCCCAGCTGTTTCCTGACATTTCGGGTAACGCGTGGTCCACTTGCATTGCCATGCTGAAGCCGACCTCTCCACCAACAAGAATCGTTTCGAAATAAAGGGTGTGGCGGTGATTCACCGGAAGCGCCTTCTACTGGATACATACACGTATTGAAAACACATATCCCCTACATGACCACCCTTCGGGTAATAAGGAGCTTAGGTAGGATGGGGACAACTGAAGGTTTGCGAATATAGCAAAATCGGACTCGCAATATCTGAACGCAACGGTATCGCTGTCTATCGGTCGATGGAACAATTTATCAATCGGTATCGCTGCCTATCGATCTCACGAACCACATACTAATCGCAAAACAACCACGGTCCGACCACGGAACAACAACCGGACAACTGCGGACTAACCACGGGACAAACACAACATAAACACGTGACAACTACGGAACAACCACGGGACAATCGCAGAACAACCAAGGAATCAGCAACGGACAACCATGAGACAACCTGCACGCTCGTCACGGGCCGAACCCGAAACCGACGTGCCGCTTGGGCGGCCCCGTTTCACTTTGGTCTCAACCCCCAACCTCCGATGTATCTTCATTCCTCCCTACGTTGGGAGCCACTGCTGCTACAGTCCCTCCGTCCCCCAAGCAAGGCGGCTGGGCGCACCAGAATGACGCTCGCCAAGGCCCAAATATCTCCAGGCAAGCCTCGAAATGCAAGAGCGGGAGGGGCGGAACCGACGTGGACAATTCAAATGATGGAGATTCATCGTCGTGCGGCAAGATGCTCAACGCACATGGTATAAAACACAAATGCCGACTGTGCATTGCTTGGGGGACATGGACAGCAGAGGGAACGGACAGACATACACCACGAAATGGAGCCATTGTGTTTAAGATGCGCGCGAAGCGTTGATGCTGCTCCCACCCACCACAAATACTCATCCCGGACCTCTAAAAATACCCCACGGGAATTACTCGGAGAGACCGAAAGAACACCATGTGAAAGTAACTTCCAAATGGCGCATCCATGGACACCGTCGCCGCGCGAACCGTTGAACCTTAAAGTATCTCTGCTACGGGGGTCCCCAGAGACCGCCAAAGGCCGCCAATCTTGAATGCCCGCGCCCGAACTAAAGCTACGCCGAGACATAGCGACCCTACCGCAAGGCCGAGACCACCGACCCCCAGAAGTGTCCTGGGGCGCCTGCTGATGAGGGCTGCGAGGCAGCTCGAGCGGTGGCGACGAGAGCCATCCCGAGAGAAAAAAAAACTCTTCGCCTCCAGGCTGGTGTCATTGACGCCGCTGGCGTTGCCCCCCAGGGCCTGCCCGAGACAAGGCTCGGGTCATGTGCCCTTTGAAGTAGCAACATGTTGCCAAGTTGAGCGCAATGCAAGCATCGCATCCATTGGCACGCGGCCTTGCGACAGGTCGTGAGAGTGTATAGCATTTTCGAACACTTTTCTTGGTGACTCCTCCTCGCCGACACGCCCGACACCTCCTCGCCTAGGCACAACCCATTCCTGCCTTGACGACGCTTGCCCTGGTGTCTGGCACCATGTCCCCGGCGCCTAGGCGACAGCAACATGTTTCATCAGAGACGTGGCCGGCGCCAAGGCGAGAACGACATGCTCGATGAAGGCTGTCGCCGGCGCCTGGGCGACAACATTTTCAATCAGAGATGCGGCACCTGCACAAGCTTGACCACCATTCCGAGAGAACTCTCGTCAGAGTGCAGGTGTCGCGCCCACTTTACGTGGGCCTGGCTTGGTGTCACCGAGGTCTGGGCGACGGTCGGTGGGTAGTCCACGTTGGGGGTGGGCTTGTAACGATCGCAGCTCGCCGTCGCTCCGATGCGGCTCTGGTCCGCGCGGCGGCGGCGGAGGCAAGCCGAAGCTGCCACAGGGCCCGCAGGGAGCGAAAACACCTTCCACGACAAGAAAACGCAGACGCGCAGCAACCCTGAAGTCCACACTCGGGTCGGGCGAAAGGGGGGGATAGCAAAGGGGGGGTTTGAGAAACAGCTCACGTAGCTGATTTCCCCGGCGCCTCCCGGCGCCGGAGGCGGCCAGGTATCGAGGAATGGGCCACTCGGTGAGGCCGAAACCAGCTGCATGCAGCAAATTTCGTAACCCCCCCTTTCCCAATCCCCCCCTTTCGTCCGGCCCGACACACGTGCGAGCAACGCGAAACTCGGCCCCCGGCCCCTGGAAACCGCCGGGGCTCCATCTTTTGCGTGGCCTCCGCGACCTCGAGCCCCTCTCCGCGGGCAGCGGGGCCCGGGAGCGGGAGCCGGGAGGGCGCTGGACACTGAGCGCCAGCGCGGGCGCCGACGTCGCGGCGATCGGCTACGCGCACAAGTGGTACTAGAGGCAGCAGGGCCCGTGGCGCGCGGTGTGCAGCTCTTCGCATGCGATGCGACAGCAGCGGCCTGCGTCCTGGGATTCGGCCCCCTCGTGAGTCACGCGCCAAAGCTCCCTCTGGCAACGGGGTGACACCGAGTCGAGACGGCGAGCCCCACGTCTGCTCACAACTGGCCCCTGGCCCACTCCCTGACAACGTCATGACCAGCTGTGCGGACTCCGCCCGGCTGTGGCCGCGAAAGCCCCCGCCCCCTGGAGCCCAACAGAAGGCCCGAGGCTCGGACAGACAGACAAACAGAAGCCTTGCGTCCAGGTGGACGCGTTGGCAGGAAAAATACAAGTGACCAAACGTCACTCGAAACGCTCGAAGCACAGAAGTGTGGCCAAACGCCACACGAAGCACTCGTCGTCTTCATCCGTCGTCATCTTCTGAGGCTCGGATCAAGGCGAATTGAGACAACGCCAGCTCGAAATCCGTCACCGGACCACTCCCGGGGGCCCGAACGCACCGGTCTCTCGAGCCGCGCCCAACCGTGGCGACGAGGCCCCCTCTCAGAAGGCATCCCACCGCTGGCGCAAATCGATCCCTCCTCGGAGAGGCGCCGCCGCCCCGCACAGCCGCGGGCCCAGGCCCAGGCGAGCCCGAGAGCTGGGCCCGAGCTCGAGACCACGCCCGGGCCCGATCCGAGGAGGAGGGGGAGGAGGAGGAGGAGGAGGAGGAGGAGGAGGAGGAGGAGGAGGAGGGAGGAGGAGGAGGGAGGAGGAGGGAGGGAGGAGGAGGAGGAGGAGAGGAGGAGGAGGAGGAGGAGGGGGAGGAGGAGGAGGAGGAGGAGGGGGAGGAGGAGGAGCAGGAGGAGGAGGAGGAGGAGGAGGAGGAGCTGGAGCCGCGGCGCGAGCCCGCCGCACATCGCCCCGCCCCGCGCCCAGCGCCCCGCCGCGCCTGCGACCCGCTCCGGCGCGCGGAAGCCGATGGTGGCGAGCGTCCGCCTGGCGCGCCCGGGCGGCGCGAGGCAGCAGCGGGCGCATCCCGCCTGCGACGACCCCCGCCATGTTGAATATTACGTCGCCCGGGCCTTCTCCATCCAGGATCGGACGCGTTTTCGGCTCTTTCGCGTGAGCGAATCGGTGGTGCAATTTCCTGACTGCTGTATTGGATGGCCGCTGGGTCGGTGCTCCTGAGCGCCTTGAGACTGGATTGGATGTTGAATCAATACTTGCCTGGGAATGTGCCCGGGCCTGTGCCCTGGTCAGAGGACCGAGGTCCCGGGCGGCCAAGGCGACGGCGCAGGCGACGGCCAAAACGATGGCGGAGGCGGCGGCGGCGGCGATAGCGAAGGCGAAGGCGGCCTGCTGCTCACGAGGGACGACATCCACACCTGTGCCATCGCGGTCTTCGAATGCCTTCGGGGGCCTCTCTGAAAGCTCTCGGAGGGGTCTCGGAGACCTTAGGAGGGTTTCCGGAAACCTTTTTTGGAGTCCCAAAACGGTGCGGTGACGGACCGTGCGGTGACCTCGAAATCCCCCAAGACCTCACCGCACGGTCCGTCACCGCACGGTCTTGGGACCCTGGAGGCCCCTGTCGCCCGAGACGTCCTCGGAGAACGACCCGAGTCCCAACACCGCGCGGTGACCCCGAATCCACACCGACTCACCGCACGGTGTGGTCACCGCACCGTTTGGGGGCCCCCGAAAACCTTTGGGGACCCCGCGGGGCCCCCGGAAACATTCAGAGCCCTCGCGGTCCGGACACGACGACACGGTCCGACGGATGCGCGATCCCACGGACGCGTTCCGCGCGGCCGCCTCCGCACCAAGCCGCCGCGAGTCCGTGGGGTCGCAGCCGAGGCCCGTGGTGTCGCAGCCAAGGGGTGCAGACCGCCAGGCCGCGAATACGGATATGTTTCCCGCCCGTGACCTGCGACGACCGTTCCCGCCGTCCGCTGACCTGGCGGCGCGCAGCAATCGCGTGCGACATGCACAATGGCCCAGAGGCCTCTACGAAGGCTGCCAGGAACCTTCGAAGGCGGGAGCGATGGATCCCGAGAAGCCCCCTCCCTCCTGACAAGACGCCCCCCTCGCGCCCTCCCCGCCCATTCTTTACGCCCCGCCGAACTCCCCGCCGTCCCCAGACGCATCCTCTGGCTCCTACGGGGTTCCCAAAAAGGCCTCGAAGTCCCCGACACGACCTCAAGTGACCACCAAGATTACTCCAAGAAGCCCCTAGACATCTTTGAGTTGTAAGCTTTGTCATTTCCGGCGTTTCGACATTGGGCGATGGAGGGAGGGGGAGGTCCAGCTCCAGAATTCTGCTTAGTGCGACTGTTTGTAACAGTGCGTCCTATGTGGGAGACTCCACCTGCTAGAATCAGGCGCCCAAAACAGCCAAGATCTACTCCATTGAGGGGGTGGTGCGAGGGACAGCGCCGATCGGCAAAACAATGAATCAGAATACGAGATCGTTCGACATTGGTGGCCATCTTGTTTCACGCGTTGCTTGTCGTGCCGTGCCGTTCCCCGTGCTTGCTTTCGAACGCTTGCAAGAGAGATGCCGTGCCGTGCCGTGCCGTGCCCATATCAGCCGTGGGGTGCCGTGCTCGGCCTCGAGAGAGCGACACGATGTCTGGGTTCCGAAACTGCAAGAAAATGGGCGTGCCGTGCTTGGCCCGCGTACCGTGAGGTGTCTTCAGGATGCAAGCAAATTGCCCTGCCATGTCGTAGTTTGCCTGGTTTAGGGGGCAAACAAACCTACCTCGCTTTTGACCACCCTCGCTTCCAAGAGATACCAAGCGATGCCAAACTACGGCCTGTACTGGTCAGGCCGCTTCACGAGGAGGCGCGTGGTATGACTTGGTTTTGTCTGGAAGCGAAAGCGAGGTAGGTAATTCACGCTCTGATGGTTGTCAGAATGCACGAGAATGCCGTGCCGACTCTGCGTCGTATCGTGCGGCGTTGGGGGTTAAAGCCTCTGTGCCGGTGTAGCTCTCCACCCGCGGTGCGACAGCACAAACGCAATGCTAGACGCACGAAGGAGCGAACACGTCGATGGCACTGCGTCTTGAGAGTGGAAGCCTGCATTGCGACGCCAACACAAACAGGCACGTACACGCAAACACACACACACACACTCAGGGGACACCCACCAGGATGTCAGTGAATCCCGCCCCTCCGCCTCAAAAGCCTGGCCAGGACGCGCGGTCTAGCAATCGAACATCTAGCACAACCTGGCTGCGGTCGCTGTCCAGAGGTCGCACGCGCCACTCGTCGGGAGCGGCCAAGAGGGGGGTGTCCAAGAAGGGGGGGTGCAAATCATGACCGGCGGCATGTGCGCGGCCCAGCGGGGGGGGGCCAGGGACGTAATGAAATAAGAAGAGGCGCCATGAAACCTGGGGAAATATCATGGCCCCCGCCATGATATCCACCCCCCCCTACTCATCACCCCCCTCTTTTCCGCCCCCGAACTCGGGCGCTCGGGCTCATGCACCGTCATCCACCAGGCAGGAGCCTCCGCCCCTCTCATTATTCTCATGACTGTTGCCTGCACGACCGCCCCCCCGACGCCGAAGACTGCGGCAAACATGCCGGCTCACCCGCCGTGCGTGCGGCGCTGGCCCGGCGTCCACGCCAGCCGCACCTGTTATGTCGGGGCAAGCGCGCATCCTCCGACTCCGCCTCCGTCTCCTCCTCCCGGTCGTGTTCCTTCCCATTGCCCGCGACTCCCCCTTCGTCGATCGTCTCTTCCTTCTTCTCCTCCTCCTCCTCCTCCTCGTCCTCCTTCTCCGCCTCCTCGTCCTCCTCCTGCCCCTAAAAGATGAGCAGATAGATTGCTGCATCTCATGCACGCAAAGCCAAGCTCGCAGAAGCAATGATGAAGTCATTGCTCTGCGGAGCCTACGACCGGACCATACGCAACCTGGCCATGCACATCCGAGTGACGGCGTGGCGGAAGGAGAGCATCATCGACGAGCATGCGCGAGGAGACTCCTTCACCTCAGGCAAACCAAAGACCCCAGAGCGGTGCTGAGGTACAACGACAAGCACGCCCAACTGCGCAGACAGATCAGGGCAGAAGAAATACGACGGAGGAACATGCCAACCGAGCCCAGAGGAGGGAAGACCTGCACCACATGCATCACTTGCTGGACCGAATCCTAAGGAGGACGACAACTTCGGCCAGACACTAGGATTAAATCGGGCGTGTCCCCCTACAAGGGGATTTTTGACGAAAGATAGAAAATACTTATAACATGCAGCGAAATGGCTAACAAATGCTCAAAGAATAGTCCCCAGATTATCTTGTGACTATTTTTGAATATTCCCCTGTAGAGGGACGGGCCCGACTTCGCAATAGGAGGGAGGCGCTCAGGCGCCGCAAGCAGTTTTGGACGCCCGAAATGGGCACGCAAACAATGGGCACAATGCCCAACAGCAAATGTTGTCCCGAAACACCAGCGGCCGCTGTTGGGCAGGCGGCCTCTTGTCTCACGTGGACACAGGCCGCGGCGGCGTGGACAGCGAGTCCTGCTCAAAATGAGCAATTGAGCATTGTACCCGTTCTTTCCGTGCCCATTTCGGGCGTCCAAAGCAGCGGGCGCTGGCGCGGCCGACGAGGAGGGCCCGGCTGGAAGAGCGCCCGGCCTCCGGGCGGACGCCGGGCGTGTGCAGAGGACGTGGGCATCAACGGGCAGCCGAGCGCAAGGAACACTGTGGATGCCACGACAGTGGACACCCTAGCAGTCCTACCATCGAATGAAACAGGTGTTTCAAATGTGGGAAGATTGCCCTGGAAATGTTTAAAACATTGTGGGTGCCACGACAATGGACACCCTAACAGTTCTACCATCGAATGAACAAGCTGTTTACAATGTAGGAAGATGGCCCTTTTAAACCAACATCAGTTTTAACACATGTTCTAGACATCTGGAAATTATCTGGCAACATGTTTCCTCTCCACTGATCGTCCTCCACAAAAGTAACCTTGGAGAAAGTAGTGACGGCAACAGAGGCCCGCCGCAAGCGCCCAATCGGGGAGGGCACCCTAGCACAGAAGCGGGCAGGAGGGCCCAGAATCGAATCGACAAATCGGATCGGCGACCGAAATGAATCGGATCGGTGGCAATCGGCAGTCGAATCGGGAAAAGTCGAATCGGCAGAAATCGGCAGCGTAGTACGCCTCCATTAAGAAATCGGAACCAAAATCGGATTCCGAAATCGAATCGAATCCGAATCGGAAATAATCGAAATCGAATCGAATCGAATCGGGGGAATCGAAACGAGCACAGAAGCGGGCGTACATACCATGCAACTCAACTTGGCGATAGCAGGCCTCGGACTCCAACAGCAAGACCGAGAGCGACACGGCGGACGTCGGCAGCCCCACCGTGAGCAGCACGGCGGAAGCCACAGGAGCACGACCGAAGAACGCAAGCCGTCCTCCGCCTCCTCCTCCTCCTCGTCGTCCTCCTCCTCCTCCTCCTCCTCCTCCTCCTCCTCCTCCTCCTCCTCCTCTTCTTAGTTTCAATTTCTTGTTTTCTCCACCAGCACCATGGTGAGCAGCACGACGGACTCCATCGGCACCCTCGCGAGCAGGACGGCGGACCCCAACAGCACGAAGATGGGCAACATGACGGCCCACGTCTTGAATACGGTGAACAACACGCTGGTCTCCAGCAGCACAGCCGTGAGCAGCATGCCCGACTCCAGCAATCACATGGTGTGCAACACGGCGGAAGCAAGCAGCACGACCGTGATCAAAATGACGGACCCCAGCAGCAACACCATGAGCAGCATGGTAGACATCTGGAGCACGACGGAGAACAGCGTGCCAGACTTCAACAGAACCTTCGCGCGCAACACGACGGACTTCAACAGCACGACCGTGAGTAGCATGACGGACTCCAGCAACATCACAACGAGCAGCACGACGGACTCCAGCAGCACGACTGTGCGCAGCACGACGGACCCCAGCAGCACAACCGAGAACAGCACGGTGGCCCCCAGCAGCACGATCCTGTGCAGCATGACGGACCCCAGCAACGCAATCATGAGAGGCACGACGAACTCCAGCAGACACGGCCGCGAGAAGCATGGCGAACTCCAGAAGCACCAACATGGGCAGCACGACGGATTCCAAAACCATGAACGATAACAGCCAGACGGACTTCCGCAACATCATCGTGAGCAACACGAAGGACCCCAACTGCACGGCCGAGAGCCGCAAGACAGACTCCAATATCACAAGCGTGAGCAGAGGAAATTACACAACGGAACCCAGCAGTGCCAGTATGAACAACACAACGGAATCCAGCGCCACCACCATGCGCAACGTAGCCCAGCAACACCACCACAGTCACCGACAAGTTAGCAAGAGTATCGAGAGAGTTAGAACGCAAAGACCTGAGGAACACCCGCACGGCGTCGCAGCCCGGAGCTGGGTAGAGCCCCGAGGAACCCTACGAAGAGGGCAGCACCTCAGGCACACAGCCGCCGCGTGCAGGATGCAGACCAACGATGGGGAGGCTACTCGAGTAAGGCCCACTCGTCACAGCCGAGGAGCACCGCAGGAATGGCAGGCAAGCAATCTAGCCAGACACCCGTATGTATTCGCGGGACCGTCGTTCAAATTGAACAGGCGAATGGCGCTGCTGTGAGGCCCCCTTCGAGTGCGAGCGAGGCCCCCCCCTCCTCCACACACAGCACGAGGAGGCAAAGAGAACGAGCACGACTGGAAGCTGGACCCAGCACCAGACGCAGCGCTCGAGGCGGCCCAGGGCATCACCAGGGACATCCAGGAAGCGATGGAGGACCTGGCGAGGTGGTAAATCCCCGCCGACGGCAAACGCGCGCTGAAGAGCTGGATGACAGCCTGCATCCCAAATGTGATGCGAGTGTTGCAAACTCAGTGATGCAGCATCATCGCGGAGCACTTCCGCAGAGAGGACGAACCAGCAGACTGTGCAGATTGACAGAGGAGACATGAAAGAATGGCATGGCATCAAAGCGCGGAGCCGCAGGGCAACCAGAGCCCAGGCAGCTGAAGGCGGCGACGCTGGTGGCAACAGCAGGGCAGCGGAAGCGCACCAACTCGTGGCAGAAGTCCTCGGATCGCCAGAACCCAGTGGCGCAGCAGCCGCGCGAGACGATGACGAAGACGAAGCAGCAGCTCCAGCAGGCCCAGCAGCACAGCCACCGCCAGCAGCCCCAGCAGCACAATCCCTGAGGGCAGCTCGCCCCGAGCTGCAGGACGACCTGATGCAAGACGAGGCGCGCGGGGGGCGCGGCGCAAGCGCTGTGCGACGAGGAGGCCAGTGCTGCAGACCAGACGGAGAGTGAAGGTCCAGCGGTTCATGGGGGACACCGCCATCGACACGGATAGAGGCCTCCCAGATGGGGTCGGAGCAGATGGGGTCGGAAGAACGCGATGCATCGCCGATGCATCGCCGATATCGGCGATGCATCGGCGACGTGGGTGATGAATCGGCGACGTCGACGAGAAGCAAAGCAGGCTCCGCATCGAGCCGCATCGGCGACGCATCGGCGATGTGGCGCGATCCTCCGACCACATCTACTCCGACCCCATCTAGGAGGCTTAGAACGGAGGAGAAGATCGTGAAGGTCCCGGTCGAGAGGCAGATCGAGGTCCCCCAGCCGCAGGTGCAGACGGCCCAGCAGCAGACGACCAACCTTCCCCGGGTCGAGCTCGTGGACGAGGACGCGCACCCGGAAGAGATGCCGTAGCCTACCAGCCTGGAACATATCCCTATCCCTATGCTGGGCACCTCCTCATCACGATGCCAATCTTAGGGATTCCCTTATTTTTTGAGGGCGAATCCCTAAGATTGTCATCGCCTTCTGGCGTGTCAATCTTAGGGATAGGGATACGTTCGAGGCTGGTAAGCAGCACCCGCTGCCGAGGACTCCTGCTGCGCAGGGCCCGCGGCCCCCGGCGAGAGCCGCCGGCGGCCCCGGCGAGGCGGCGAGTGCGTCGAGGCGGCGCGAGGCGGCGCGGCCCGACGAGCAGGGCAAGCAGCCCAGCGGGCCCGGCAGGCTCTGCCGACGGCGGGCGGCGCGGGGCGCCTCGGCGGCCGCGGGCGGCGGCCGCGGGCGGCGGCCCGCCGCCAGCGAGGACGCAGCGTCCCAAGCATCGTCCCTCCTCCTCCTCCTCCTCATCCTCCTCCTCCTCCTCCTAATCCTCCTCCGCCTCCTCCTCCTCCTCCTCCTAATCATCATCCTCATCCTCATCCTCACCCTCATCCTCCTCCTCATCCTCATCCTAATCCCCATCCTCATCCACATCATTTTCCTCTTCTCTCCTCCTCCTCCTCCTCCTCCTCCTCCTCCTCCTCCTCCTCAGCAGCAGCAGCAGCAGCAGCAGCATCATAATCAGCATCGGCATCAGCATCAACATCAACACCAGCATCAGCATCAGCGTCAGCATCAGCAGCAGCAGCAGCAACATCATCATCAGCATCAGCATCAGCATCATCCTCCTCCTCCTCCTCGTTCTCCTCCTCCCCATTTTCCTCCTCCTCCTCCTTCCCCTCCTTCTCATTATCATCGCCATCACCATCACCATCACCATCACCATCACCATCACCATCACCATCAACATCATCATCATCATCATCATCACCATCATCATCACTATCATCATCATACTCATCATCATCATCACCATCATCATCATCATCATCATCATCATCACCATCACCATCACCATCACCATCACCATCACCATCACCATCACCATCACCATCATCATCATCATCATCATCATCATCATCATCATCATCATCAGCATCATCATCAGCATCAACATCAACATCATCATCAACATCATCACCATCCGCATCATCATCATCATCATCATCATCATCATCATCATCATCATCAATATCACCATCATCGTCCCGACATGGCCACGGAATAAGCATCGACACCACTACCACCATCGCGAGGAGCCAGCAAGGGGCCCCCTGGTATTGGCCCCCGTGGTTTGCGGCCTCCCGCTTGAGACACCTCAAATCTCCAGATCGCGGAGGCATAGTGAGCCTCTTCGCCAGAAGGGACCCGCTGGTGGTGATGGCGGGGGACGCCAGCCATGCACCGACACATGCTCCGGCTATGCCGCTCCTGGGCCGAGGATTCTTGGCGGCGCACAGAAGGGGGCAGGGGGAGGGGGGAAGGCTTCTTAGAAGGATGCTGCTCCTTAGAAGGCGCTGGCCTTACATCTGTAGAGAAGGCCCGCGCCTTCAAAAGAAGCAGGGGTGCTTTTAAGAAGCCTTCCCCCCATCCCCCATACCACCCCCCGCGCGTGGCTGACATTGGCCTGGCGGGGGGCGGTGATGTTCTACGCCTGGCGTTCTCCAATTCCCCATCCCTCGTCCAGTAGTGGATGTGCGCAGGCCAGTGCCAGCCTTCACCAGCCAGGAAGCACGCCGGGCTCTGGCACCTCGACTGCGCCGTGCCCGCCGCCAGGGCCGGCGGGTCATGCAGAAAAGGCGGGAAATACAGACCTGGCCAGGACACAACGCGCACTGGCGTCAAATGCGTTGGCTTCGAGACGCGTTGCGCCCAACGCGCACGGGAGCCACGGCACCACGCGCACCGGCGCCCCCTTTCCTCCTCTCCTGCCCCCGAAGGCGGCAGCGTCCTGTGGCCCCAACGGGGTCTCGTCGATGAGGAAGCTCTCCTGGCGGCGGTGCGATCGCCGCGGGCCGTGGGTCGATCACGCGGGAACGGCACGACTTCTTCGATTGCGAGCGGCGCAGGCAGCTGCGCGTCGTCTAAGAAGTCGTGAGAGTGCAGGCCAGGCGAAGGCAACACGCGGCAAAAGGGGGCCACAACAGTAGCGAAAAAGAGGCAACAACGGGAACGGCACACATTTTTGGTCTGCGGGTCGGGAGCGGGCCCCTTCCGGTCAAGGGCTAAACGGGGCGCGGGTGGCCATAATTGGGGAGACAGGGCGCGGGCGGGCGGGGCCCCGGGCGGCCGGAGGGCTCAGAGTACAGGCGGTGCCGAAGATCTTGCACAGGACAAGGTACGCCATGGACTGGGGCAGGGGGCGAAGCCAAAGGGGAAGTGGGAACGGCACGCACGCAGCCGAGGATCCAAGAGGAAGGGAGGGGATCGTCAACTGCTCTGGCCCTGTGCGGGCGGCCCGGGCCCGAAAACCTCGCGCCGCGGGCCCCACGGGCCGCAGACGCCGCGCGCGCCGTGGACGCGGCACGCCCTTTTCTGGCACAGGGGAAGCAGTAGAGGGGGGGAGGAGGAGGAGGAGTAGACGGAGGAGGATGAGGATGAAGGGATGAGGATGAAGGGATGATGATGATGATGATGAGGAGGAGGAGGAGGAGGCGGAGGAGGAGGAGGAGGAGGAGGAGGAGGAGGAGGAGGAGGAAGAGGAGGAGGAGGAAGAGGATGAGGAGGACACGGATCAGATTTTCAACAGGCGCGGCGGCTAGCGCGCGGGCGCGGCTCAGCGACGCGGGCGCGGCTCAGCGACGCGGGAGCGAGCCCGAAAAGGAGAAAGATGCCCGAACACCTCCCGATGGGAGCGCCAGCAGGCGCGGCCAGGGACCACCAGGGCGTCGAGACGAAGTCCGCGAACAGCTGTGGCCGAACCGGGCCGCTAGCCGAGAGCATCAACGGCAGGCCAGTGCGCCCCAGTCGGGGACGCGTCTGCGGGGGGACGGCCCTAATGCAAGGTCGCGCGAAAAGCTGGACGTTCGCGCTCGACTGCGCCCCGCACATCGCGCAGAAAAAGAACAGGCCCGCGCTCCACACGCGGTGACCCCCTCCGGGGGCACGCACCGCGGGGGAAAAGGAGAAGGCGTCGCGTGCCCTGGCGACGCGGTAGCAGCGAGCGCATCGGAAGCCCTTGCCGCGCGGCACAGGCTCGCGGGAGCAGTCGGGTGGCGACGTGTCCGCCGCCAGCTCGGGGATGCACCCTCGCTGCTGCGCGCGCCGAAGGAGGCCGTGCCGCGGCGAATCCTGCTGGCTCGGGCCCCTTGCCCTGGCCCGAGCCAGGAACTTCGCAGCGAAAGTCACGAGACGGACGGTGCGCTTCGCTTCGCGCGTTTCGTCGCCGCCTCGTCGGCAGGGTGGAGGGAAACGCCCTCTCGAGCAGCACGGTCGGCAAGGTGATTGTCCCAGCGCTTGACCACGCATCGCTCGACGTCGCCGTCTTGGCTGCGGCGAACATGGCCTTTGACCTTGAGCACCCCCCAAAGTCGCCCACCCGATCCCGCGCACGAGACTAGAGACGCGTTGCCTCAGACAGTGCGCCCGTCGTCTCGGCGCGCCCAGGGAGGCGACCAGGGAGCCAGCGGCGACCAGGGAGGCGACCAGGGCCGCGCAGGGAGGCGTCCAGGGAGCCAGCGGCGACAGCCTGGACCGCAGACCAGCCCGCTCCAGCGAGTGGGGGGGCCCCCTGCACCAGCGACGCGCGCCGCCACCGAAAGCCTCGCCATCGAGGCTGCCCCGCGAAAGACTGAAGAGGCCCTGGGACACACACAAATATATACACACAAACCAAAATAATCCCACTATTTTCCTATATGTTCTAAGCTCCCCCCCCAACTCCCCATATGTTCCCATATTTTCTGGGGGATCGACGATTAATCGTGTCTGTGGTTTTCCCCTCCTCAAAGACGCTCGAACAACTTGGCGAGGAGGGGGGGGGCGGGGCTCGGCACGGAGGGCAAGGATCGGGGACCAGGGCGCGCCTCCAGAGGACCCAAGCAGAGCATGCCGTAAGGTCAGCCCGAAGGGAGGGGGGGGGGGGGGGGAGGTCGCAATCTCGCGCGAAGGCCCAGGTGGCCGAACACTGCCCCGACACCCAGGCCGAAAAGAGTCCCCGGGCAGGACTCGACGCCGCAACGGGGGCAGGTCGGGCCGGTCGCAGGGCCGTGGCGATGTTTCCGAGCCCAATCCCACATGCCGTTGGCCGCGATCGCACGAAAGGTCGCCCCATGCCGCGAGGCCCAATCTGGCCCGCGCTGCGTTGCACCGGCGGCGGAAGGCGCCGAGCTCGATCCAGCGGCCAACCCTCGGCGCGCAACCGCGCGAAATGGAGAGCGGTTCGAGGGCCAGTGGCCGCGAGGTCAACCATGCACCAGGGCCGAGCCTCCACCCACGACGTTTACAGTAGGCCAGGGCAACAGAAATCGGCCCACGAACCAAAGCCCACTCGCCGTTCAAACCTGCGCGGGCATCGCAGGCCGCATCCGCAGCAGACGAAAGCCGGGCGACCGCGCCCCATGGAAACCGCGAATCCCAAATAGCCTGCGCCAGCATGTGGACAAGGCCAACGGTGCTCGCATACGCTGGGTCGACCGACCTCGGCGCCGAGGGGGAGACGCGGGGGTCCAGATCGAGAGAACGGCGAGCTGTGCGAACGAAATGGGCCGAGTGCACAGCGCGTCGCATCGGTTCGATCCCACTCCACGACCTCCCAGTCACGCGACCCCCCCAAGTACCGGCAGGCCTGAGGCCGAGCGAGACGAATTGCTATGTTTTGCCCCTCGCGGCTCGGATCATTCGGATACGCGCTGCGCGCCGCGCCGCCGCGGCCATCCTCTTCGCCCGCGCGGCGCCTCCTGGGCGTCGGCCGCAGCCGTAGTCCACGTCCAGGTTCCTGGCGGACGCGCGGCGCTTTCCTCGCAGCGCCGCGCAGCGCCGCATGGCCTCGCGGCCGCGGTCGGCGTCGTTGGCCAGCGCCGCGCCCTTGCCGCCGTTGACCGCCAGGCCGTCCGCGAGGGGCCCGCGGCGCAGCCGGGCGTGGGCGTCGCTCGCGCGCGGCCGCGCGCATGGCCAGGCCCGCCCGGGCAAGCTGGACGTCGTCGGCCACGTCTGGCCGCCGCAGCTCGGAGCGCGACGATGGCGTCGAGGCGCGGCACCAGAACCATTCCCACGCAGAGGTCGGCGAAGCTGCAGCCTGCCACCGCGCCGCGCCGAGGGGCGCAGGCGGGCGCGGCCGCGCCCTGGGAGCAGACGACGCGCGGCATGCCGCGCAGCTGGAAGAGGAGGCGCAGCAGCGCGAGGCTGAAGTTCATGAGGGCCGTGCGCGCTGCCTGGCCGCGGTGAGACGCCATCTCCGCCGTCGCGGCCTGCGCCCGCGCGCAGGTTTCGCAGCTCTGGCCAGCTGCTCCGAAAACGTAGCTGCGGCGGCGCCGCGTGGCCCACTGCGCACCAGCGGCGCCTCTGGCCCAGCGGGCGAATGGCTGCAGGGGCCCAGGAAAGAGGCCGATGGCGCGGACGCCGCCCTCAGACAGGAGCACCACCTGCACGGCCGCCAGCGTGGGCGGCACGTGGCCCAGGGCCAGCATCAAACGCCGCGCCCCAATGCAAGCGGTCGGACAAAAGTGCCGCGTGCCGCGGGCGGAGCGCGTCGCAGCACAGCCCCGTCACGCGCGGGCAGGCGAGGCCCTCCTCGACGGTCCGAAGGGTGGGCGACGCGCCCGGCTCAGCAGGCCACGCCGCAGCCTCGGTCGCAGCGCCATCGTCCCAGAGCGCGCGCCACGGGCGGGCGGCAGCCTCGGCGACGAGCTGCGCCGACTGGATGCCCAGCTGCCAGCGCGCCGCGGCCCAGGGCGCGGCCTCGCGTATCCAGCAAACCCCCTTGCGAAGGCCGTCAGTGGATGCGGCGTCGCGTGCCCAGTCTAGCAAGGCATTGCAGCGTCGGTGGGGCGCACGCCCCTCCGCTGCCGTCGCCACGCGGTGGAGGTCGGTCAGCGGCTGCTCGAGATCCTCCGCGCCCAGGTGCTGGAGGCGACGTGCTAGGTTACGCCGGGCTTGCCCAAATTGCGGGTCAGCGCCAGCGACTGGCGGCTTGAAGCGGAGGCGCCTCACCTGCAGGCGCCGCGCGTGGGTCACGCTGCCGGCATGCTGGAGGACGCGCCACTCGCGGACTCGCTCCGCCAGCTAACTCCAGTGCTGCTCGGAGGGGGCAGGCTCGGCAGAAGGCTGCCTGTGGGCGCGCTGGCGGCAGCTGCACCTGTGCCAAGCGGGCGCCCCCGCTCAGGCCTGCTGCGGTAGCGATCGGCCCCCTCCCCTTCCACGAGGCCGGGGCGCGGCGCCAGCTTGTTCTAGACGCGGCGGCAGGCCGCATCGAGGGCGGGCGCAGTCTCGACGGCCCCGAGGTCGTCGAGCACATCCCGCCAGTCGGGGGCAGGCAACTGCGGCCGCACCAGCGCCCGAGAAGGGCGGGGTCGCGGGCGACGCAGGCGCGTGACCTGCGCGCTTGGGGGGCTGCGAGGCCCGGCGGGGGACGATGGCTTTGTGCGCGCACTGAGAAGAGTTCGCAGCGTCGCGCCTTCTGCACCGCCGAGCCCTGGTCGACGCAGAAGTAAGTCAAGCTTCCTGGCAGAGGTGGGCGTCGCGCAGGTGGCCTGGCCAGAGCAGGCGAGCCTCGCGCCGATGGGAGCAGCAGCCGCGCCTCTTCCAACGCGGCGGGGGCCATGTTCCAGTCGGCGCCCGCGACGAAGAGCCGCCGCGTAGCCCTGATCACGGAGACCAAGTTCATCAGCTGGACGAGGATTCTGTCGCCGAGGTACTGGCCCGTGAGCAGGTAGGCCGAGGCCAGCATCATGCCCTATTCGGACCCGGGGATGTCATCCATAAGCCAAGGCGCGCGAAGCAGCGCACCGGGATGCGGTCACCATCGAACTCGACGCGCTGGAGGTGGGCCCA